GATTGTTGATGTAAAGTTATGTAGACAGTTACCTAATTTTGCAGGTAATTTTGCAGTTGCATTAATTAAACAAAACATTCATCAGGATAAGTTATAATAACTCTAAAAAGATGATCAGATTCGGGTCTGGCTGGTAACATTGAGCATTGTTCGTTGGTTTTGTTTTTCAAATTTAAACTTTTACTTTTTCAAACAGTTGACAGTGACAAGCCAATTGAAAAGAGCATTAATTTGGATAAACGTTGAATTGGTAAACATTGTTGATCAACAATTAGTCACCAGTCACCATTTGCTCAATTATTACAATTAACTTTCTCTTTTTCACCCTTCTAGGACCAGTACAATTCAAATTTGATCCTGAATGAAAATCAAACATTGAAACATCAATTAACCAGTTCAAGTGGAAGAGGAAAAGACAGATATTTTAACTTGTAATGATAGTTTTTGAGGAATTTTAATTTTGTTGATATTAATGATTTGGCGACTCTTTTTTAGCCTTTTCAGTATATTTATCATTTCATAATGATTATTCATTTAGAAAATTTGACAACATTCAGACACGTTACAATTTCAGCAGAAGTAATACACTCAACACTAACTACTCAATATATGTATTAATAACCCATTGGCTGTTTTCATGATTATATGTGTCTCAATTTATTATTTGATTGTACCTGTCTTCAGGTTAAAAAAGTGTACAGTTAATTAATCTTTGATTTTTTGTTTCTCTTTTTTTGCCATGTCTTTCCTTCATTTTAGAGAGCAATTAAATAAACACCTCATTTTGTTCATTATCTGCAATAACATGATTCAATGTGAGTCAGCGTGCCGGAAAAAGACAATTGGACCAGTGAGACGTGATCAGGTCCAGCAATGTTTGACTAGGCCAAGTTACATTTTTGGAGATTCTTAATTAGCAGATGGACACAGCAAGCACAAAACGAAATACCATTATAAAAATAATTGTATTCAAATCCTTTATTTGGCCAGATTTCACTCAAAGATCAAAGCATCAGATTACTTTTTGTTGTGGCTCAACACAGCTGTTAACACTTGGTTGATGAATTATTTAAGTCTTCTCATTTAAATACAAATATTGGACATTTAGATGTCCAAGGTTAACATTGTAGCTAATTAAGACAAAACGGCTACAAATTACCCTTCTTTTTGGGTAAATTTTATCTGATCTAACCTTTTACCTTTTTGGGTATTTTTTGCTTTTACAGCTCAGACAAGAAACTAAAAGGGTTACTTCAAGTATGTAATTAATTAATTTTTGCTTATTTTAACACACTTTTTTACAGACAAGTTGAGGCGATGTAATTTAAAACTGATGATATCTTAATATTTGCTAATAACTATTACCATTCACTTGGCTTAAGTTGAACACTTGTTGATTTATCAAAAATAAGTTGAAAAAGGTATGAAAAAGTATTGAATGATGTGCTAATTTGGTTTATAAATTCACTAACAAAACTGTTTTATTTTTTTAAAGGATAAACTCAGAATAGTTGAGCTTAAATGATGCTCAAGAGTGAAATTCGCCAAATTATCCTAAAAGTCATTCCATTTCATGCCTTTGGTTCTTATAATATTAGTAATCTAGCATTCAACATGATATGATTGATTCTGAAATTTTAACTTGAAAAGTGTGTGCGATCGAATTGTAATCAATTGAAAAATTAGCGATACATGAGTCAACACCGATTGAGTACAATTAGAACAGATTTGACATTTGATTTGCCTCCGGGACAACTTCTAAGTCCAGTTTCAAGGGCTATAATTGTTTTAGATTTTACAATCAAGTATTGAAACAAAATTATTCATCGTATCAAACTAGTATGGAGGAAACCAGTGATGTCAAGAGAAAATTAGAAGATGAAAATAAACATTCAGTGGAAGAAAAAAAGACCAAAACTGAAATTTCCTCAACTCCTGATATCGTGAAAATTAAATCCAAAAAATTTGTAGAAATACTCAAGTTAAAACTATTGAAGACGATTTGTTTGACTTTTTAAACAAGAACATTATGATCGACCACAAGAATTTTTCTTCCAAAGAACGACCAGAACCGATAAAGGGGTGTCAGTAATTAAACAAACTTTATCTTGTAAGAACATTCATTTTCACAGTTTCAGAAACAGAAATTGTTGAGGAACATCTGAAATGTACCTATTATGGTAAATTATGTCTATCAGGTTTTAATTTGTTAATTTATTTTTCTTGTAACAGTGTTATGCTGACAGTAATCTCAAAATATAAACTCACAAAAGGTTTCAAATTCAGAAAGAAGGAAAATTCAGTGTGATATTGAAAAACCAATAATGAAAACAATATATATTAATACATGTATAAGTATAATTACAGTTAATTAATTCTCTAGTATGAAATAACTTATTTTTCGAGGGTCGAGTTTTTTTGATTGACTAACAGTGACCAGTCCAACATTTCTTTATGCTCTTTGCAATTTCAATCACCAAAAGAGCATCATCAGTCAGTAATTCTGCTCTCCTGATAGATTTTATCGAAAACAGAACAACACTAATTCATCTTTAATTTTTCAATTCAAATTAAGGATGAAGACCAAAACAATAAAGAAAATTGCCTATCTTAAAATCTTTTTGAATTAAATGTCCTGATGTATTTTCAAACGCTGATTCCATAAATCTAATGCATTTTACGATCAGACTTATACTTTCTGCTATATCGGCAGAAAAATAAATAGAATATTAAAGAAACGATAAAATCGTATCTCTGCTTTCGTGTTACAACGGAATCGATGACAGTACCGGCAATAGGATTCTTTACAGGTGTGTTGAACCTGGTCTCAAGAAAAATCTTGCGTAAGCTCGCTTATTAACAATTGTGAATGCAATTCCAGCTTCTTCGAGATCTTCATGTTCACCAAGAAGACCTAATATTTGCGTAAGTTCAGTTTCATAAATGCAGCCAATTTGTCCTTCTGAAACACCATCACGATAGGTAATTATACGCTCGGGAAAACGGCCGTTTTCTCAGTTCCATGCTTTCAGTCCACCTTGAAAGGCCAGAGAAAAAGTTAGAATTAAAAAATATCAAAGCAATTTTATAATTTGAGAAAAAACTAAATCAATAAAACTTACTCTTGAAATCGGCTGTGAAATTAGAAGACATTTCTTCGAATGTTTTATGATAAGAAACTTGGGAAAACCATGAAGTTGATCCTGCGTTTGCACTGCTAACAAAAGCTCCAATGGTTCGGCCTCTTTTAGCGGTGTCTACATGTATTGAAACCAACAAACATTGTACTTTGAACCTAATTTAAATGAAAAAATAATTCAATCGATCAATAAACCTTAAAGGTCTAAAATTTGAGAGAAAAATGCGAAAATATTTACTTACTGGATTATGAACTGTCAATGCTTGAGCACCCATTTTGATGGACATTTGAAGCACAAGTTTAGCAATTGAAATTTGTTGTTTAAGACTCTGAGGGTTAGAACTTGAGATGGACAGGGTTGTTCGCAGCAAAAATAATGCTTGAAAGCACTGGTCGACAAAAGTATAAGACCACTTATTAACTTTCATGATTCCTTAACATACTCTGCCAACCTTTGAACTGGGTCTAGGCAAACATGTCGATCCAATTCACGTCGAAATGAAATGTCTTTCTTTTATTTTTTAAAGGATAAACTCAGAATAGTTGCTCAAGAGGGAAATTTGCCGGTAAAGTCAAATTGGATGTTCATAATCCTCATGAAAATCAAGAATCAATGAAATCAATCGCCTTGGGAATTTGGCTATCAATGTTACACTGTCGTCAAGCTGTAGGTAAATTGTTTTCATTGGCACACTAAAGCAATCAAATTAGAAGCACCGTTTTGCTCAATTTTTCACCTTTTTTCCAACATTTTGTTTACATCTTTTTTTGTAAACTTTCTTTAAGGACCTTCAGAACTTTTAGTGTCACTTCATTATTGGTCTGATTATGGTGGACATGATTAAGATGAAAAAAATCACACCAAAGCAGTATATTGGCAAATTAACTGATTCGAATCATGTTTTATCTTCATGAATTAAGGAGGTCAAGCCGGTTATTTTAAGTTAACTAATTCAACGTCGGAATCATCTTTTATAACAATATCAACAAAATAGCCAACAGAGTAACAGTTTTGACTGATAAACTGGCAAACAATTTAATGGACCACCAAGCTCAGAAAATTTATAAAAATCCGTCATCCATCTTATGTTTTTGGCCTTTTCCATCCTCTTTTGTTTTCGCATTCCAAATGGAACAAAATCAAACATCAGTAAAGCTCTGTTGATGGTTAGTTAACCAATTGACAAGTCGTCATCACTGACAAGGTGAATAAGGTATTTTGTTTGCTCCTTTATACCTTTACTTTTCGCCCCCTTCTTCAAATTGAAATGTTACAATCATAACTTATCGAGGTCACTGCGAAAAAAAGTCAAAATTTATAAAAATATATATTCGGTAATTGTTATTTCAAGCTGGACCCGGATCACAATCCTGATCACACAAGTGTCTCCACTGACCGTGAATTATGTCTTAGCCTGAAGGAAACAAGCAATCAACTTGTTGATGTTATTATTTAATTTTTATTATCAAAACGGAGGCAAACCTTAACTAAGTAACGTAAAATTCATCGATGCGTTTCAAGTGCATCTTGATTACCTTTCTTCATTTACCTGTATTACCAGGGACAATTGCTATTTCTAGATTCAAACCATTGTACCTGGAATAATTGAAAGCGACTCAAGAAAAATGATCAGCAAACAGTCGATAATTAGTTATAGAAGATAAAATTCCGGTCATTATCGTTTCCGGTTGTCAAGAAAATTCAATCAATATCAATAATATTTCACCTTTCATTAATTTTACCGGTTATAATGACAATGTTGATACGCTAAGTATAATTTGTTGCCAAAATTAACTACAATTTTTTGAATTTTGCTTTAATTTTGAGCAGACAAACTTTCGCCCAATCAAATGAAATTTTCTGGTATTTACAAAGGAAATTAAAGGTGAATTGGAAAAGGAGTTGCCACAGCCGTAACACAAAAACGCAATTACATCAGAGACTACAAAATGGCCCAACAGTTAATTGATATTTCTAGCAAATTGGTACTCAAGTTGGCATAAAACCTATTGTCAAATGAAAGTGAAACTGCAACAAAAAAAAGTAACAACAACTCGCAACTGCTCAATTAAATTGCAGCAAATAGATACATGAAAGGAAAAAGGTGAAAGCAAAAGGAAACTAATTCTTGGACCGGCTAATTTGCGTCAAAGAATTGTAATTATTTAAAGGTTGATGGTCATCAAGTTTCCTAGCTGCTCTACAATGACACAAAATAAGTCTTCCCTACACATTAATCTTGTGTCTAATTGTGATGATAATTCAAGTTAATAATCAACTAGACAATATTTTTTCCTAAAATGTTTTCTTCCAAGACCTAATCGCATTCAAACTCATTTCAAGGTAAAAATCTTCTTTTAATTCACACTCATCTTCCCTCCTCCTCCTCCTCCTCTGTTTTTTAGCATCCTCATCATTGTCATTAACTTTCTCTTTCTTATTATCTTAGGATCACCTTGACAAATATCGGACTTCACAAGTTTTCTTGAAGACTTTTACCTTTTCTTCATTATCTTCATCATCATTGTTCCTCTGTTCTGGGCTGTTTCCTTTACCTGGGTCCACCTAAGCCATTTTTTACCCATTTTCACCAGGAATCATGGCAATGACATTCTTTGTTATTCTGCTTTTTTCATTCAATTTTCACTTCTCGGTCTCCACCTAAAAATGCCGAAATTTAAACAATCAACAAGCAACAATCCTCTTCATCATGGGTTTGCTTTCTTCCACTATTTCATAAGAATGTGTTCAATGTCAATTTAATAACTTCTTTTCTTTTCTCTTCTTTTTTTCCATCATTTTATGCAATCTTCACGCCAACGGAAATAATATCTAAAAACGCCAAGAAGTTGAGATTTTGATATTTCTGATTTTTTTTGGTGTGAAAAAAACAGTCTATTCTAAAGATACAATGGATGGCAACAAAAAAGATGATAATTACAGCGGTGAACTGTTAACATTAAAAGAGGCAACATTCAAATTCAATCAGCTGAACGCTGCATGTTTAAATCAACAAGCAATCGCATTCATTGTTAATTTACTAATGCCAATTGATGCTAATCTCCTGGGGTTGGACTGCATCTTATAATTGCACTGCAACTTTACCTTTAACATGGTTGTTATTGTCATCAACATCCTTTGTACCAACAAACAATGACAATAATTACCTTCTGATTGCTATTTCTTAGTTGATTGTATTGCAAGTAAAAATTATCAAACCGAGGCATTCAATCAAGTTTCACGTAAGTAAACTTTTATCAATTTACAATGCTAATTAAATGATTTCAATCTTTAATGTTATTAGTTAATTATCGACTGATAAATTAATTGTATTCTCTCTCTTTTATACACAGCAGGTTTGGATGATCAAGATGGAAGCCAAGGAAAGACTGATTTTTACATGAATTCAAAGGATATTGAACTTGAGTTGAACTCGTAGGAATACTTAATGACATGAAGATGATAACAAGCAAATTTATTTTTACCTTCACAAGTAACTTTCAACAAAAAAAGCAAACAACTGAAAAACCATGATTTACATGAAAGTTGACACACAATTGACAGTTTATTTTATGCAAAACAAACAAGGCTGAAACAAAAACAACTATCAAACCGTATTGTTAAGATAATTTAACTGTCATGCATATCTTTCAATTACTATAATCAACCACCTTAAAGCCCAAACAATCGGTAAGTTACTAATCTATTTATTACCGTTAACCGTTAATATTTCAAACAAACCCCATTCTAATTACATTATCATCTTTCTGTCTCTTTTTCCAGCCAAATGATGAACTTTGATGTCGGTCGCGATTCTGGGCACTTGATTTTGACCAGCTTAGTCTTCCCCTGTTTTCATCTTCATCTTATCCACGAATTCCTCATTCTTGTCTCAATTCTGTAACAACTTCTTTTCATGTTAACTAATTTACCAGGTCAATAGAGAGTCAATCTTGTAAATTGCACCTTTTTCATATTTCCAAATTAAAGAAACTTGATAAAGAGGAAAATCTTTTCGCAGAAGGAGCTGAAGATTTTCAGATGATGATTTCGAGGTTGATGATGCACCTAGTATAAAGAAATATTCCGGTCAAGCTACTAACGGGAAGAAAGCAAACGACAGTACGATAGTGAATCAGATGAATATGAAGAGGAAGAAGAGGACTCTCAAGAGAAGAACAAAGTCAAGAAAATAAAACCGCCTAAACCATCAAATCTTTTGCAAGTTAAAGTCGAGGAGACTCAATAAGAAGACCAAGACAATGATGACGCGTATGAGGTATTAGCTTCAATATCCAAACGTCTAAAAGGTATGTTTGGCTGCAAAAATAATACACCACAATCAATCCGAAGCTTCGAGGTTTGACAGCAGTAGCTGATCAAGAAGACTGGAAACAAAAGAAACAAAAAGGGCAAAGCTCATTGATTGTAATAATTTAACATTTTCAAGTTAACTTTTTTCTTCATTATTATGATGACCAAGTAGATGGTGATGATGATTACCATGACCTGATAAAGCCTATGAGAACTCATGAATATGCTAAACAGTTTAACAGTGAATGAAAGGATCAACTTACAATTCAAAACCTTGCCCTTCTCATCTTGTTGATCATCATTTCCATCATCATAACGATAATCTTGATCCTTTATCTTCATCACCGTAAACTTTCATCCTCGCCCTTTTTCCATGAACTTTGAATACTTTCATCTCAATTCTTTATTCTCTCCACTTTTGCCTCTCGCTCCTTTTCAACCTTAATTTTTATCCTCATCACCATTCTCATTATTAACATCGCCATGACCATCATTATCATCTTCTTTCTCCCTTCTCTTCCATCTTATTCCCTGGTAAACATGTAAACAAAACCTTTTATCCTGTCCATTTTGTTTCCCTTCGTACAAATGAATAATTATTCAACCTTCTCTTCTCCATTTTAATTTACTCTTACTTTTCTTTCTCATCAGATTACATCGTTTTCATCCATCCCTCAATCATCTCTACTCTTCTCAGCATTATTTTCATCTTCCACCTAGCTTCAAGTTTCAAGTTAATTGGCATTCAATTGACTTTTTACCTTTTCATCGTCTTTGAAACTTTCAAAGGGAAAAGAAAGTTGAAAAGGAAAACTTTCTTTGGTTGACAATCAAAGGTGATCAGAAAGAGGGTCACGAAGAAGAGCAATAAGAAGAGGCTAAAATAATGAGAGATGAAAAGGATAAGATGCTAAAGAAGATGGAAGGCGAAGAAGAAGAAAAGGAAAGATAAAGAAACACACAACAACAGGTTATATCATCTATTGAAATCCTATTTTGAAATATTTCTTTCAACTTTCATTTGTAATGGATATACCATTTGAGTTCATTGACTTACCTTGACTTTTCTTTCTTCAACAGACCCACAGTGTTTTGTTGATTTACAGTGTTGATACCTGTTGATAACCTAGGTGCTAGGGGTTGCACTTGTATTGTTGATAACCCTTATGAGTTGGGCAAAAATTTGCAAACCAGAATCAAGAGAAAGAAGGAGAAGGAAAAACAACCATTTTCTTCCTTGAGAATCAATAATCTTTCGGAAAGTGCTAATGAAGATGGTTTATAATCTCTAATTATTGCTTACATTTAACACCATAAATAACACTTAGTGGCAACAGTTAGATAATGTTAACAAAGACGGTCATCATCTGTATCTTCAACCATCTTACCTTTTGAACCATGCAATAACTCAAAGCCATTGATTATAACGATTATCCAAGGAAAATGATGAAGGGAGGTTTTTCAAAATTCACTAGAAATTGCTCAAAGACAATTATGGCCTATCATTTTACCTTAAAAATTACGCTTCTCTAGCTTACATTACTCTATACCAATAATCATTGAACAACGTAATTCTCATGATCACTGTTCATCTATTTTTGGATTTATGGCATTTCTCTTCATCATTGGTTTCTCCTGTTAATTGTTACCTTTCACCAAGATTACTCCAATAGTTCAACAGTCTCTGTTATATAATATCGAGTAGGCCTGGCTAACTGTTTTTATTTACCTCCCAGATTGTTGACTAATTCAGTTACAGACAATTAATCAACCATCAGTTTCATCCGCCATTAACTTGCTCAGCTTTACATCAGATGCTCATCCTCAATACCTTGCTTGCTCCTCTATTACATGAATAACAATTCTGTCAATTTTTTTCTACTGTTCAACATCTCAATCCTGGTCCAGATTGTGACATTGGTAATTTCATTACGTCTTGATCTATTGAACTGACTCAGAATGGTTATCAAAATTAAATTGAAAAATACAATTCAAAAATTATTCACTTGAATGGTTGAAAACAAGGTGCTAAATTGTTGAAAGCTTTACCATAACTAAAGTAATGGAATCACCATCAACATGATAATCACAATTTCCGCAATCTATTTATGAATAACTTTTCGTCTTAATTATACCACTTGTTGCAAAGCACAATTATACAAGAAAAGATGAGCACAATTGTTAATCAAATTAGCCTGAAAATAATCAGTGAATTTGATGAAAAGAAAAACGGAACCAAAAATTGAACAGTTGCTGCCCCTTGAGCATGAAACCAAGAAGAGCCAAAAGGGATAAAGATGAGCCTTTTTTACCCGACAATTGGATGGAACAAGTAACAACAGGGAAGATGAAAATCGCTTCTGATTATGATGATGATTGTTCTTCGTTGCCCTGAAGGCTGACAATTTAGCGTCTTGCAACTGCGAGATTTGAAACTGTTGCCTGTCTCATCTGACACATGAAAAGTGTCAACCTGAGAAACTGAATCATCTAATCACCAAAAGTAATGAGATTAACCAATTTTTGTTTCTTTCTCAATTGCAATTACAAAGTTTCAACAAATATCCTGAAAGAAAAAGATTCAACAGATTTATCTTCATCATCGCACTAAATCACAATTAATACATTTGATTGACAATTTCATCTCGTTTTGTGTTTCTTGAGGTACATCAATTTAATTAATTGCTAACGGCAAATCAAGTTTACTCGCCATAATTAAATGTTACAAACGGAGACGTTTAATAAGATACAAAAATTGTTCAAATTTTTAGCAAACTTGTTGACAAATAATTGTCAAATACAGACAAATCAAAATACAAAGTGATAAATCAATACAATTGAAATGTAATTATATCAAATTTAAATCAACAAAAATAGCTGAATCAATCAGATATCAAGCTCATCTTATTCACCCATTCAAAGGTTATCATTATTCCTAAATATATTGGCATTCATTGAGATTCAATTAATGATCAAGGAGTGTTCAGCTTATCATTGATATTTGAATGTAACAATTATCAATGATTAACTTGTCTATTCAATATTGAATGTAATTAAAGGTAAATGATTGTTAAATGAAAACCAATATTAAAGTTAAATGTTGAATCAATAATTATTTTTAATGAAACACTTGCAAGTTAAATGGAGTTACTTGAAATGAGGTTTAAGCCGTAATCCGATGAGTATCAGTTAAATGAGCAATCAAAATGCAATCAATTTTGTCGTTCATGTTCATTACCTTGAAATTGAGTAAAGTGAATCTATTTGCAGTTTCAATCAAACTTTCAATTAAAATGAACACTTTATTGTTATCATTATTAAACATTACCAAGTTAATGAAAACACAGTTTAATGAAATGATCTAAATTTATCAATTTAAGTGTATAACCAAAGCTAGTCTTTGGTTTGGTTGAAACATTTATTTTAGTTAATCAATTCTGACCTGATATAACCAGCATTTAGGTTGACTTTTGATTAACAGATACTTTCCTCCTTTTCAGATCTTTTTCATTACCTGATCAGATAATTTGGTTGACACATAATTTAATCAATCGGCTAATAGATTCACACGCTAATAAAATGTAACCTTTAATTAAAATCGACTCTAAAGGTTCAAGTTAACAAACGATCACGATTTGCGAACTTAAATGATTTGTTTTTGACAAAATTATTTACAATTAATGTTGACAAATCAGGGAAAAGAGGAAATCGCAATTTAAAATCTTAATCAATTGATTAACCTGATCAATCTTCAAACATTGAATGTTATCAAACATGGAAAGTGTTGCGCTTCTGTAATTATGAAAATCCTATGAATTGTCTAAAGCTGTTTATATCCATTTCAAGTAATTTTTAGGTTCAGTTATGGAAAGAAATGATCAGTTTGAATAAATTCTTAATTGAATTCATGAATACGTGAGAATGAGCCAGAAGGTGATTCACTGGAAGTTGAAGAAATCGAAAGTTTCAGGAAATTTAAGCTCCAATTTTTGGCTCAAAAACTAGAAGCAACATTAAGTATTCATGAGCAAGTCTAGTCTTCATTTTGCATTATTCAATAATGTTAACACAGTTTGAGGTAAGCAACGAGAAAGATGATTAAGGTTTAACTATTGGCAAGGTAAGTTGATGTTGGGACAGTGAGGCAGAAAGTTGAACATAATGAATGCTTGGGCTTGAAATATTTTCACTGAAATTTCCTTGCGATTCATTGAGCCTGAACATTTTCTATCGCTTTTTTTCCTTATCAGCTTCAACCTTGATCTTTTCACTTTAAATGTAAAGACAAAGAGCAACTCTCATCATCATTATCATCATCTTACTTGGAAACGTTTGTAAAATGTATTATTTGAAGTGTGTCTTTAAAATCAACTAACCGTGTCTATGTTTTTCACTGCAAACAACATTGATTTTTGAGTCAATAATCTTGTTAACCAGAAAAGACATTTTTTGCTTCTTGTCAACAGTGTTAAAATTTAGGGAAATGTTCACAATCAATGAATTAATTAGTAAATTGCGAGATTAACAGTATGCAATGCTTTTGAATGCTTTCTGCCAATTGATTGATCAGTTAACAAAAGTCAAAGGCTCTTATATTATCTGGTAAATCGAGTATAGTTCAGTTTATTGATTATTAATAACTAATAACATCACTAATAACGAGAGGAACAACAAATCACAATCAACCCAATTAATCGCTTCAATTGTCATCGTAATCATTTTAATTCTGTAATAATAGCAAACTGAGAATCTTTATCAACCTTTTCATGTTTCACCAAATAAAAGGAGATAAAAAAAGGAATCAACAAGGAAGAATGATTCAAATTCAATTCAAGTAATTTTATTATTGTTAACAATTTAATCAATTTGATTCATTTAAGAGTCAATGATTGCACAATTAAACACACTTCAATGGCAACAATTAACGTTTTGCTCGAGAAAATATTTTGTTCAACTCTTCTTTAAATCTCATCAGAAACCATTGAAATGACCATTGAAATAGCCATTGACCGAGAAGATACAAAATTGGTTAATTTTTGTTGTCAATGGTTAACCAAGTCAAGGTTAGCAATTAATTGATAAAAGATGAATTTGATTAGGCAATTAAGGTAAAAAAAGTTACTCGATGATTATTTTTACCCGTAAAGTTAACCTTTGTTGGGTTACATTTTAAATTGAACAGAATTTTTGGTGAAAAGGAAAAAAATGATTAATTCTTTGTGTTCATTTGTTTTGTCCCGGTTTGCAGCATGTTTCAATCATCTCAAATCCTTGTGTTAGCTTGAGTTTACAATCAAAATGTGTAACCATAAATTGACACCAACATCCAATATAATCAATAAATCCTGTTGTCCCATTTATTTTGGATTGTTTTTTGGTCGATTCCAATTTGCTACTTCATCATCGGAATGATTACTGTTGTGTATTTTTGGGTTAGACGGGTTTGTTTCGATGAGAACCAAAAATCATTGCGGATTAAGTCAACTAATCTCTTATGTTTTTTGGCATCAATTTTGGTTGAAATAGAGACAAAACAGCAACAAAAGATAATACAAAATGTTGAGGTTGATGGTGATTCTGATGATTAGTATCATTATGTTTAACTTTTTTTGGATCCAATCACAGTCTCTGTGTGATAAAAAAGGGTTGAATAAAAACAAGGTCAATATTATAACCTGTAAAAGCTTTCAACCGATTTAACAACAAATCAAATTGATGCTTCATTTGTATCAGACTTGGGTCACATTTTGTTCATTATAACATATCAATTAAGTTGAATTGTGTTATTGAACAGTGAATGTAAATAAATGTTCATTTCAAACAGCAATCGGAATACTTGATGCAGCCGAAGAAGCTTTAACGTTGATTGAAATTTACCTTTTCCAGATTCCATTTCTTGTTACAATCCTAATGAATTTTCATCGTGATTTAAATCATTGAGAAATTGAAAGTTCAATTTTAGTAAGTTGTTTTGAGTCAGTCAATCCTGATGTTGCTATTGCTAGGTAAGACGTTCAAGTAGCTTGATTGGTGGTGAGATTAAGGATTGACATATGGATTAACAGGCGATTGATTGACTATTCATGGAGAGCCATTTGACCAAGAAATAAATTAGTTATCAGTTGTATTCCTATCTATATCTTCCGTGTTCCTGATCCCTTCATGTAAACCCTGAAAACTGAAAGAAAATGTTCAAGGTTAGTTGTTTGTTGAGTTTAAAGTTTAATTTTAATCTAATTCTACTCACCGGGATATCAATTGTTGGTCAGCAAAGATCGGTGTTGAAGGGTAAATCAATAGTCATGATGAGCTGGATTTGAGTTGAACATTGATTGTTATCTGTATCATGGTGATAAAATAAGATTAGATTTAAATTGGTTGTTTCTGTTTTGTATCAACATTGACATTCAATCAACTCTACATTTGTTGATTGCTTATTGTCCATCTAATTGGTAAATGATCTTCAATCTCATGCTTATCCTAAAAGATTGTTTTACTTGACCACAATATTTTCAATTTAAAGTCATATTTTCACTCGAATCTTTTTCACTCATTTTTTGCCCATTGATTTAGTTCAATGAACCAAATCAATCAAAAAGCAAGGAAATAAACAAAATATTCAACGATTTAGTTAACCATTTGATTGATAGTAACAATAACCATCAAAGGTTCAGAAAATAATTTAAATCAAGAAAAATAACTCGAGTTTGAAGTGCATACTTAATTAACCTTAACCTTGGCCAGAATTTGATTAACACTCACAATTGACAGAAAATTTCGTCTCTTTTTCATTGTTTGAATGCAAAAAAGAAGCTGATTTTTTGCAGTTCAAATTTAATTACTGCTCAACACCATTAATGGTCATCATCATTGACCAAGTCACAATCAAATTCACTGGATTATATTAGTTAGTAAAGATTTTGATGGTTTGTTGGTCAAATTGACGAGGAAATGCAACAATCAGTGAAATCCTAATCAATTGCGGTCATTTTGTGTCCTTTCAGTCCACCAACAGTCAAATGTCAACAGTAAACAATCCTCATTTAACGTGATCTTGATTGCAGTGATTACAATTGAAGGTGTTTTGTCTTTATATTAAGTCATTATTACCATCATCATTATCATCCTCATCATTATGGTTATAATAGCAATTAAAATGATGGCAACAATCAACAGCATACAAGTATTTATATCCATTAAACGTTAGATAAACGAAAGTTGTGTCAATTGAATTTGTTGAAAAAAGTGCTTCTAACAATTAAACAATTTAACAACAATTTATTCAACTTGAAACCGTCTTTTTTATAAACCTAATTGTAAAGGTTAATTGTGATGATAAAAGGTAATAAACAAAAGAATGAAAAGGTAATTTAAGAGGTAAAATAAATTAAATTAAAAGCATTCAACAGGATTTTACTGGAAATGATTTCGCCAACAAAATGAATCCAAGAGTGAATCTAAAAGGGAATCTAAAAGGGAATCTGTTCAATGGTATTATGATATGCACAGTTCAAGCATTTTAGTGTCAATACAATTTAATAATGGTTGATTGAAGACAATTAGTTGATAGTAAACAACATAAACAATAACTAAAAACGAGTTAATTCTCGCTGCCTCCATACAGCTCAAGATTGTAGGCAAACGATTGTCCAAGTACAATTAAGGAAACTTGTCCCATCATTTCAATAATTTAAACTTGGTGCTCTAGTTGTTACCTTTTATCACAACAATCATTACATTCATCGCCATCTTGAAATTATTTTGAGTAACAAATTATTATTTATTAACATCAATTGTGATTGACGTTTTTTTCATTGTGTTGTAGCTAAACATTGTCAACAACAATACAAGTGACAAAAGTAGATTGAATGTAAAGATACAGGTTAAAATGTTCAAGTTAAATGATGATGGTTCTGATGTGATTGAGTGTGTTTGTTAAATGCACGCAATCGGATAAATTGTAAAATCAAAGGAAGAAACGAAAAGTAAAATTATTTCAATCAATTTTATTAGGTCATCCGGTATAGTTTTCCCCTGGGTATGAAGATGATATTTTTTTGTGACGAATTCAATGTTTTCGCATTCGCGAGGCCAGATAACATCACTGTTATCATCATCAACCCTGTACATGATCATTATTTTGTGCAATTCACGAACAACTGTAAATTATTCCAAAAAAAAATAAATTTTTGGAATGACAAAAGTTCGAAAAATTGCTATAACTCATACGATCTAGCAGGGAAATTTATTGTTTCTGTGACGATGAGAAGCCATGATATGCGTCTATTAAATGATGCTAAGATTGTTCCCTTAGGGCTCATAAAACGGCATCAATAGTGGTCAGAACGCAGTACAGCTTGAAAATGGAGTAATTGGCTTCTCATACGAATTTTAAGGGTTGTGTTTACAGATAGAGATCAGGTTTATGCTCAGAATGTTTTTTGAAGGTCTAAGAATTCTTTTGATACCACACATTCTATGGTGGAATTCTATCCGAATAAGAAAAGTGACAACGAATTGACAGTGTCCCTCAGTTCGCCTGTACTCACGTTGTGGGCTGATTCAAGATCACATTCAACGTCAGAACGACAATTGTTTTAGGTTATTTTGTAAACTTTTTTGCTCATTATATTCAAGATGTATTCTCTGGCTACTGATTAATCCTTTCAAACCTCGAAAAACATGCATGTGGAGCGAATTGTTGAACAATTTATGACGAAAAGTCGTAAAAATTGTGATTTTTGAATAAGGAGCCTGCGCACTGAGATGATTAAGTTCGAACGCGTTTTCTCTCTAGGTATATTTGTTTCAAAGCCTGATAAGTTCATTAGGCGTTTAAAATCCATCAAAAAGTCATTCCTTCATACCAAGGGGAAAACTATACCGGATGACCTAATACCATTAACATAATGAGATGTCGAGAGGTGATCACAATAACTTGCGTGTAAATCCCGATCCATTTTCAATTTAATCCATTGATCCGATTCCAGGCTAAGACATGATTTGTGCTGGAAAAAAGTAAAGTAAAAAAGACAATTTAGAATGATTGAATTAAACAAATTTAATGATGAAATTAGATTAAACTCAATTCTGTTAAACATAACAGTTGATAACTTGAGATCAGTTCAGAGATTCATCTGTCGACACAAAGATCAATGATCTTTTCATGTTATGAGTTCATTTTATAATTAGTTAAATAAATTTCTCTCTACTCAAGTCTTAACATTTATTTCATCCTTTTTAATATCATCTATTATGATCAGCTGAATGGATGAGAATTGAAAGTAAAAATAAGATTTCTTTGAACAACCCTGAGAAAATAGCGAAATAAATCATCTTCTATTTACCTCTCCTTATTATCATCATCATGCTTATTCTCACCATGCTAATGACTATTCAATTGATATTATTGTCTTGATATCAAACAAAAATCAAGTGATTGACAATTTAATGTTCATTTATCTGAGAAAAACTGAAACCTCAAGAAAATGATAATTAGATTCCATAGAGTTTTTAACTCTGCTTCACTTATCATATCACATTGTTTCGATCATTATTATTCAAATGTTATCGATAGCAATTTCAATGATTTTGACTGGAAATATTTATGAACTAAAGCTAAATAAATAATACAATTTTCACACAATCAAATGCATCAACAACAAAACAACACCAATTTAAATACAAGTTAGAGCAAATAATGTGGTATGAGTGTATAAAATTAACACGGCATTAAGTTCAACAAAAAAAGGTAAACTAAACTAGTTTTTCGTGTTTTTTGTCTGTTTTTTCACTGATCAAAAGATATATTTCAAGATTGTTGTCACTTGATTAGCAAAATGATGGTTTCAATGACTTGGTGTTTTTATAAGAAAAAAAACCTGATCAATTCTATGTAATGAGTTTTTCCTTTCATTTTTTCCCTATTCCAACATTTTCTCATTCAGTTTTCATCTTGATCGCTTATCAAAAATTCACATGGAATGATAATGATGATAATGATGATGGTAGTGATGATGGTGATGATGATGAGAGGGATAATCTTAATGGCCTCACATGAAGAAAGAAGAAAAACGCCAAATTATGTTCTATCGATGCTACTGATTGCATTGGAATTTTTATATATCTCCTTTGAGTCTCCTTTAATTCCTAGATTCCGCTTCAAGGTGAGAATCATTTTTTAACGATGAATCCAATAGTAATCAAACCTACAATCAAGAAAAGAAGCACCTTTAAATGATGAAAAGAGTAATGATAGAGGAATATTTGTATTAAAATGAAGAAAAAAAATAAATTCAACTTACAAAAAGTCAATGCAATGGATACCTTTTGGTTCATAGTTTGCTGCTGATGCCATTAAACAGTTGAAGATAATACTATTGAACAAATCTTTACTTTCATGTAAATTATCATCATTTTAATCACACTCAATAAACAAATGTTGATGCTAAAAAGGTAATTATAAGATGATTAGTAACAAAAAAATCGTGTTCTTATAAATTCATAAACCTAAAATAAGCGTCTTTTGTTATTTGACGATGGATAAAACTTTGCATCAAAGAGGAAGAAGAGAGTTAACTTCAATGAAAAAAAAGCATCACAAAACAGTTGAAAAAGTCACCACTTGATACCTCTGGTATTTGCAACCACGTTACTTTGTTTACAATTAATTGTGTACAAATCAACGTTGTTGACCAATACAGTTTATTAGTAAAAATAAGTGAATTATAATTAAGATTTTCTTTAAGAAATTCATATTTTTTGTTAATTGAATTGATTTTTTTGGTTTTTTTTGGATTGACAATTTTTCTGGCTACCAAAAAAAGTTTTTGTTAATTTATAAAGTAATTTTGATCAACTTTTGTGTACCTGCTATATATTATGCTATTATATTAATATACATTATTTTCATGAATTTCATGAATATTTAGGTTATTTATTATGTGTTAAATGATCAAATCAGAAAGAATGGAACTTTTTTGATCAGAACTTTTTTATATTTGCTATGGAGGTTATGCTCATAACAGTTTCTGTTAAAATAGCAAAGGTAATCTTATTCTGATCTTATTGCCACATTTTTTCTTGCAAAATAGCCACAGATTTGCGATTTCTTGCAATAGATTAACAGGTTTGTGGAAGTTAATCATCTTCTGTTTGTTACATCACCCCTGTTATAACCACCGACACCATCATCATCTAAACCCCAGGATCATTAGTGTTAAACCATTAAGAGTTGCATTGAAAAAGGAAAAGTGCAAGTGAAATGAAAAAAAGTGAAACCAATTGATGGTGTTGACTGATAATTTCGCTGATGCCTGCTTTGTCTGAACCAGAAAATTTCTTAACCAAAGTTGGGTAACATCAACAATAACAATCAACTACAAAAGCAAGGCTCAAGCAATCAGAAAAAAGTAACAAAATAAGCAACCAAGGTTAATCACTGATCACCTGTTGACATAAGTGCTATTTCACTTAAAAACAAGGTCATTACCAGGTTAGCGGTTAAATAGTCAGCGTTTATCTCTTTTAATGCTCTCTGGTGATGCTTTACATTCAAATTACCTTTTAATAGTATTAACCATTAATATTGTCATTCACTTTCATCATTAACATCAATTGTCATCATTCACTTTTCCTTACCTTTTCCTTACCTGCCAATCTCATTGTCTTTAGGTTTATCTACTTTGCTGATGCTTGTCTTTACTTCTCTTCTTTTCCTCTTCACTTTCTTTATTTTCCTTAGATGGTGAATGCAACAGGTTGAATGGCTTTTACATTGAAACATCATCTTCACGGTTTACCTGTTGGACTTATGTGGCAACGCAATCAAACCTGGACTCAATCCAAATTTCGTGATAATTACATTTGAATTGCAAAAATCAAACAGAGGAAAAACGATGAAGACGATTAATGGAAATGCCTTTATGCCGTAAAATTGCTTTATAATCATCACAATGGCTACACCTTTGCTCATTGTCATGGGTTTTAAACCAGATTCAGACTGAGGAATGATATCAATACAAAAAAAGTCAACAATACAAATGAACAACAAAACAAAAGGAGAAATATTAATACACAAATTAAATGAGATAATGATGATGGTGATATTAAATCTTGGGCGTCATCATGGTGAGGATGACTATTTGTAAACGCACAAGACACCTAATGATGATGACGAGATAAAGACAATGAAAATTGAATACTGTTCAACGGAATATCACTCTTCTTTCCAGTCAAGTTAGACAAACAAAAAGGCATTTTACAGTAAAACGGAAATCATTTTATGGATCGTTGGTTAACAAAGTTATAAAAAAAATGAACAGAAATGTTATCCGGATTTTTTCAAGCTCATATTGAAATGTTGATAAAGACAAAGCTTGAGCATGATATTGTCATGATGGAAATCAATCAATCGCTCAACATTCCACTCACATGGTCTTATCGGTTAAATCCAACAGAAACCTATGATAAAATAAGGTCACTCAATTAGCTGAATTGATTATTGGAACAATGGAAAGGCTGTAAACCAATTGTTGGTCAACCTGGACGCAAATGTGAGCAACAAATGTTTGGTTGAACAATAAGTTATCAACATTTAATGTTAATAATAGAAAAGAAAGAAATCATACTCCTTATCATCATTAACTTCATCGTCATTATCATCATCATGGAAGGAAGATACAGAATGTAGAAAACAAAGTCAATACTGAACTCTCACAATCTTCAGTCTACAATCTGCTCTTCCTTAACCTTAGCCATTATGTATTTTTATTCATTACTAAAGGTGAACAGAAGATGAAATGATGAAAAAAATGTCTTCCTGGTTACATCAGAAAAACCATCAGAATAGGAAAAAAATAATAATCAACATAAAAATGGAATCATTTTGTTCCCAAGGTTGATTCCATACTCAGGCAAGAAGGTGAAGATGATGGTAACGATGATAAACATACAGATGAAGAAAGATGATGAGAAAGCAAAATGATAACAAAAAAAAGTGTATTTGTTTTCATTGTTCAAGAAGACAAAAAAAGAGCCAAAATAATCAACAAAATTCTTCTCTAAATGAACCATTTTAGTTGCTATCATCATCATTATCAACAGCAACTAACAGCAACGATTTCCATCATCGCCATTACCTTTTGAGGAAAGTAAATCACAATGAATGATATTTTTGAATGTTTACAAGTCCAATCACAACCAGAATTAACCCTTAATCAATCTTTTTTAACTATTCAATTGAAAGAGTTGGTTAAACGGCTGAAACCAATTGAATATTGAAGGAAACAATCAGTTAACTAACCCTTAAACTAACACTATTTCCCTGTGATTTATACGCTCTTTTATTAACCAAATATCTTTGCTCTTTATATTTACAGGTAATTGTTTCCTCAACAATCAATTCAACTCTATACGGAAGATTATCTCCATTTTTTATCATTATTATCATTTTTGATTAACTATTACAATCATAATAGTCATATTTTTCCCAACAAATGGTGAGTATCACAGGCATGAAAATAATACACAAGCCAAGCCAAAAAAGGTACACAATTGAACATCAAATAACACCATAAACAACAACTTGTACTTTTTTTTCTCGCTCTTCAGATTCAATCTTAGCTGTCTTTGTGTTCAACATGTTTTCCCTCCAATCGTGACTTACCTTTTTACCTGTAAATTTGGGAATCAAAATGAGAATCCAAGAAAAGAGAAGAAAGAAAAATCTAAAAATGTGTAAAAAAGCTGAAAATTTCAATGCACAGACAGATCAACATTTTGTGAACAAAACTTCATACAATTTAAACCAGATAACACCTTGAAAAGTAACATTTTAAAGCTGTTTTTTGTCTTCAACCTTTCAACTTGATTTTGTCTTTTCCTTCCTTAACCTGATGAAATTTCATGAACTTTTTTGACTCTCAGAAAAACTGCAAAAGCTGAATTACACCTTTTTCAGATTATTGTCTTTACGATTGTTCCGATATTCATTGGTATATTGAAATGAATAGTCCGAGGCTTGAGATTAGCTGGAAATTGTTGATGTTTGTTGGTAATAATGGTGGTTAGTGGACAGTAGTTATCAAATTGACTGATGATGGTATGAATAGATGATAATGATTGAGATTAAGAGTTGGGATTGGAGTTAATTGCGAACCAATTTTCGATACCTTTTTTGTCCATCTAATTGTTAAACTTGTTTCTTATTTCACACAATTTTGTAGCAACAATAATGGAAATGGCTATGATTGTGATGATGAATGTGATTATATGTATATCATGATGAAACTTCAAGTAAAAATGGTTTCTTAAAATAATATCTTGAAATGTGGATAATAATAATACCTTGACTGGGTAACTCAGTTTGTTCACATGAACAGAGTCAATACTTTGATTGTTTGTATCAAAATGTCATTCATCTGGTTAATGATATTCAATTGTCGATTCAATTTTTTGACTCAATGAAAGTAAATTGCCCTTTTGTCCAATGTTAATCAACTATTGGTTGACCTGATTTCCAGGTTACATTAAAAATGAAAATGAAAATTTGATCAACATTAATCATCCAAATATACACTTTCATTCAGATGGACAAGTAAAAATCACAATGAAAGTTAATCATTAAACAAATTGTAATCAATTCTCACAGTCACATAATTGTAACACTAAGCATTAGATGAACTTAAATAAACACAATCAAGTGACATTAAAGGCTAATATAAAACCTTAACCAAGTCTTAACTTTAATCAAAATCGCGTAAATCTCAGCAATTAATACGTTTAATTGACTTACCTTGGTAATAATAATCGCAATCTTAATTAGTCTTAATTTTGTTAGTGAGAATCAAATGGCAATTGTTGACTATTAAAGCCATTTATAGTAAACAGAGCAAAGCATATTGAATATGAAAATGAAAAAAACTCAGGAAAACAACATAAAAGTGACTTCTTAAATGACAATGTATTTAATTGACTTTTTAGTGAAAAATTTGGTAAAAAGGCGCTTTTAAATGGCAATTGACAATTAATAAATCAAGTTAAATCACAATTAAACGTTAAAACAAGGGATAAACAAACAAGAAAAGGTCAGTTACTTAAAAGGTAAAAAGCATACTTTATCCATACTTTGAAGCCAAGTTCATCCATGGTTACCCACGTTAAAGGACCAAATTGACAAGGTTAGAAGTGGCAATTAATGATAATATTTATAAAATTAACTTCCTTTTATCTTCCATTCTCACTCAACTCTCATACCTTTTATCACAGCGTTTTCAAATAATTCAGGTAGGATTGGTATTAACAGTGCGAAAAAAAATGTTCAACTCAATGTTTATTTTACTCGCAGCAAATAGCGTCAGGCTATCTCCTTGTTAGCCTCATTTCACTTTTTGTTTTTTTTTGCATAACATTGAGATTCTTTATTAGTTAATCAGTTGATTATCATTATTGATTGATTTAATCAACCTACACTTTTAATTTTGTGTGTTTTTTTTACAATTTGTTGTGGCCATTTTAAGTTATTTAGTTGGATTGAACTTGACTCTTATGTTTGTTATTATTTTACAAGAAATGGAAATATCCTTTCACCTGTATAACACAGCAATGCCAATAAATAGTCTGAAGGCTTTATCGTGTTCGTCTTTATCATCATGGCTCATGTTGCTGATGCATCTATCATCATTGGATTGGTGTGACTATCTATCAGGCTTTTACCCTTGGGTCCACCTAAACATTTCAAGGAACAATTAAGAATCCTACAGAACAAATCAACATATTTCTTGTTACTACTTTTGTGTGATTCAAGTTTTCACTTGCCTTTTTTGATATTCACTTTAATACCATGGATACTTATTTTTATTACTATAATCATGCTAATCGTTACCATAATCAGTTTTCTGGTGACTGTTCTTGCTCATGTTTCACTTGTCTTTACAAGCTTGATTTGATATTTTTACTCATTGTTATCTATCTACTTTTAATGGATAAAATTACCATCAACATTCAAACAGCTGATGGATCATCGGCTTCAGGTACTTTACCATTGTTACCAGTAGATGAAGATGACCCAGGATTGACGTCCACAAATTCATCAAATTGTAATGAAGAACCAGATGAAAGTCCAAACAGTTTACCCGAAAGTGTCCATTCGTCTTCATCACATGCTTCAACCACATCTACAACAACCTCAGGTCGTAAACTGATTAAACCTGATATAAGTCTAGACTTTTTAGACGCATCCGATGAAGAGACAAGTGAAGATGAGGAAGATGATGGAAAGGAAAAGTCAAAGGAAAATGGAGAAAGTGACAATTATTGTCAAGATAATCTGTGTAATGAAGAAATATTTTCAAACGTTTGTATCTCATCTAAAGGCAAACGCAAATCATGTTTCAATGTTAAAAGACAATCTTCTGTTGATAGTGATTCACTCTCATGGGATTCATCTTCAGTATCATCATCATCTTCATCTCTATCATGTCCCACAATTCATAAAAAACAGCAACATGAACCTTACTCTTCGTTGCCCTGCAATTTAATTGACAATGTTTATGTTCATGAGGCATTGGAAGTTGATTTACCATTCAATTTATCTCTTACTTTCACTGAACTTGGCCACATTAGGAAAGCTTTAGCCCGTGAAGAACTGGATTCAATGTCTTTCTGTCATTCGGTCAGGGAACAATTGGTTAATGGTAAATTGTGTTCAACTTGTCTCAAGACTCGCTTCAAGCTGTTTGGCCCATGGGCTGATTGTTGTCGACTATGCGAAAGACCCGTTTGCTCTCGTTGCTCATCAAATGTACAAATAAATGCCAAACGATACAATTCAATACCAATACAATTATTGGTGCCAAATAAGCGTTATCGTCAATCATTCACTTCACCTTCACTAACCTCACCTTCAATGTCACCATTGCCATCAAACCCTGCCAAGATGAAAGTTAATCGCCAAAAAAGTACATCTTCATTATCATTTACTTCATCATCTTCATCCTCTTCCATCTCACTACCCATTCAAACACCATCATCAGTGTTATCATCATCCAGTGCAATTTCATCGAAACCTTTCAATCGATTAAACCAATGGAAACGATCAAAAGGTTCATTTACAAGTTCACTTCCATGGCTGCGTAAAACAGCCTCAAAAGATGGCAACAAGGGCGATGAAGATGGCGGAGAGGAAGACGATGATGATCAGATTAACCGTAAAAAAGACAAAAATGTATCAACCATGGTTATTAAATTGTGCCTTGATTGTGAGGTGTTTTTTGTTACCCTTTTGGCAATTTAAATAACCACTTTGCCCTCCGTAACCTGTAAACCTCAATGACCATTGCCATTTCAACTGTTGTCAATCTTCATCTAATCTTGATCTCATTCATTCACAAAACCCAAATGCCAAATGCTAAATCAACATTGTAAATTCATCTTGTTACCCCTTGTTAATCAATGTTAACAATGTTAATACATAACTGGTTAACATATAAAATTAAATTTGTTCAACATGGATAAGCAAACTGATTTAACAGACAGTTTTACACTCGTTTTCATACTTTTGTTGTTAAAACAAAAGCTGTTATTGAAGGATGAAAAGAGTCAGGATAACCTTCAAGATAAAGGCAAAAGGTGTATTATAAAGTGTATTATAATAAACCTTGAGATGAATGTCCTTAAACCTATTAAGATTAAGATTAAAAAACCCTTCGTCTTTGAAGATTTGGTTGGTTGACCCAAACCAGGGTTACTTGCGATTCCAGTAAACTGCATAACATAAGGAATGAATCTAAGGGTAGAAGCAGAAAAAAATGATTGTTATATTTTATTAAATTGTATTATTTATTTCTTGATTGTTGTAAACAGACCAAAGGGAAATCTCTCAACACTTGATGAAACCAACAACAAAGTAAACTATCACAATAAACAAATGGAAAGCAAAAGGTTCCTTTTGTTGGTGACTGTTGATCATTCATGCTTAGTTTTACAACAGGTTTCAACAGTTTCAACAAAATGCTCATAGATTTATTATAATAGCAAGGTTAGCTAATACACCATAAGTCTAACACTAGATTGCCTATTATTTTGTATGTTTTGCCCAAAATTCATCCTTAATTTGATTAACCAAACAAAACAATGAAATGGTTCCACCAATTTCTTGATCGTTGTTGAAACGTAAACTCAAAGTGATAATGAATCTCAATGTTTACTTGTTGCTCTGATGTTGTTTAAGAGGAAACGGTTTGAAGGTTTCTATGACCATAAATAGCAATTTAAATGAATTTACTTTAAATATTGATAATCTTCAATAACCTTGATTCTTAAATTATCGTAGGAAGTATCATTATTGCCGATAATCAGGTAATTCAGCTATTAGCTAATATTTTACTATTCTTGGTCTATCTAAATCTGCGTTTTATTTTGCCATTTGATGCTAGAGTCAATTCAAATTATGTTAACATGGTAATATTATCTTGAATTTTGTAATTTATGATTAAAGAGTGTTTTATCGTATAAAATTTATGACAATATAATTCACTAATTATAATTTAAATTAATTTTTATCCGGTAAGTAATGAGATTTGTAAAAAGCGCGTTTCATATAAATAAATTTTAAATAATTTTCATTGGACGTTTCATTTTTGTTTAGTAATCATTTTGTTTTTGTTGTTTTATTTACAATTATCAAAGAAGTTAAAAAATGATTGTTACACCATTAAAATCTTCTCATAATTAACTTTATACAAATATTTTTTGTAAATGTATCTGTGTATGTGAAACACACATGATGAACATGATATCAGTTTCCTGAATTAAAGACATTAGTAACCATGGACAATGTAAGGCTCTTTTTACAGTTTTTTGTTTGGAAAAATGTTTCCTCCGGGGAAAACGGAAAAATTATCAGTCAATTACATCATGTTTATAATATTATTTATAAATATATTACACTTGTATTCATATCATCAAATCATATTATCCTTCGGTGTCCAATGATCAGTGGACTTAGTCAAATTTACAGATGGTGTTTCAGTTTCTGTATGCGAAGACTTGAAGGCGTTTATGGTAAGATTGATATTTTGTAGGGTCTCTGTGATTTGTTTTTATCATTTTGTTTCTTTTCTCAAAAATAAACAGTTAAATCAGGTAAATTGGCCTTTGGTTCGTTATTTGTGGATCCATGATGATGTTGACCCAGGAATGTTGATCGTCTATATGGTGTTACACTTACATCAGGATCTAATTCGGTTCGACGAAAATCATCTGTTGATCTTAAACCACTTGATGGATCACCAGATGAATTATTGGTTCGTCGTCCAAATGTGTTATTGTTATTATTGATATTATTATTGGCAGGATTGTATGGATTGTAAACATTTTTAGATTCATCAAAATCATTATTTGTTGAATCATATGAACCGTTGTTACCATTACGGTGGTGAACAAATGAAGAAGATGATTTATTTATATTGGCGTAATTAATTATTGTATTATAGCCAAACCTTTCATCTTCCCAGGTTAACTTTTTCACTCTCCTCGGTATTGATCCTTGAGGCCATTTGATCAATGATATTCTTGATGCTGTTCCTCCTCCTGTGGTTCCCGAAGTCGTGCATGTAATTGAAGGTGGTGGAGGTGGACTTAGAGATCTATTATGGTTATCTTTATTATTATTGAAGTGATGATGGTGGTGATGATGATTATGAGATTCTGAAGGTGGTGAAGTTAAATCAACTATGGAATCGGCTTCTTTTACCTGTCGATGATGAGATGTATTGGATGATGTTGATGAAGTCGATGAAGATGAACTAGATCCATTATGAGGGGCATCATTAGATGAAGAGGCATCACTGACTATAGCTGAATCAGGATCCGATTTACCAGAACCTGAAGATGTACCATGACCAATGGACAAGGAACGATTGTTGCCATAGTATCGTGAAGAAAGGTTATTTGGTAAAGTATTATTGGTACTGTTGTTGTTTGACAAATTAAAGATGGGATTTTCAACACCATGAATACCTCCACTGTCGACTCCTCCAGTTGAAGACATTAACCCACCAGTGGGTAGATTCGAGGTGGGTCCAAACAGATTAGTTGAATCAGATTGATCAGATGGACTAACCTTGGCAGTTTTTTTGGCTAACGAGGAAATGGAAAAGCCTCTTGACGAGGGAACATCAATTTTACCGTAAATTGCTGAATTTGGATGATGAAGAGAGGAATGGTGATGCAAATGATGGGACGTTAATGAGGCCGGAGGTGGAGGTGGATGAAGATGACCTGAGTCAGTTGATGATGCACATGAATCTGTTGAAGTAGATGACAAGCCGGATGAAGAATGAACATCACTCAGTTTTCGATGGCGAAGAAGATGAACTGTTAAAGTAATGATTATGATGAACAAAGTGGCCAATAAAACACCTAGAACAATCACAAGGACAATTGCCGAAGGTCCGGATGTATTGAAGAGAGAAGACATGTTTACACCGGAAGATCTTGCTTGACCGTCAACATCATCAATATCATTTAACAAGTTATCAACTGAATCGGATGGCTCAATGTCACCAATAGCTCGAGCCAATCCGGTTTTAATTAAATTAGGCGCGAATTGAACGGTAACCGGGACACTTGATGATCTTGGCGGTGAACCTGAATCCGAGGCCATTACAATTAAATGAGCTTGAGTCGTATTTAGACCTTTCAATGAACTGATTGATATTTTACCAGTTTTATCGATCGTAAATGACCGAGCAAAAGGACCTTTAACAGTAAAATCAAGTGTATCACCTGTATCTTTGTCTGTTGCCTTTACTTCACCTACTATTGATTTTGATCGTAGGCCTGATTCAGAGTTAACAAAAAATGTGTAATGTGGTTGGGAAAATTGTGGATCATGATCGTTAACATTGATCAATGAAATATTGACACGAGTTACATCACTTTGTTTCCCATCAGAGGCCATCACACGGAATGAATACCAAGGTCGAAGTTCATAGTCAAGAGCTTTTCTCACCGTTATTTCACCGTTGGATTTTATTCCAAAGTGATTGCCTTCGTCATCTAACAGTTGGTATGTTATACCTGAAGATGATGGCGATGAAGAAGATGAACGACTTGATGAACTAGTTGATTCAACCTCGGTTGGTGTTGGTCGGCCCATTATACCAACAGTTAAAAGGACTGATCCAGGAGGAACATTTTCCAACACTGAGACAGAATAATTTGATTTGGTGAAACGTATTTCAGGAAGAATGGACTCTCTTCGAGATAATATTGTGACTGTTGTTAAGGCATATCGATCACGATTATCTGTTTGTGTTGCTCTTATCACTAAAGTCAAGGGTAAAGATATTGTTGGTGGAAGAGGTCGTTTAACCTTAATTGCTGCATACTTTGGATCAATAGTGAAGTAAGAGTATTCTCTTGAATCTGAATTGAATGAATATTCAATAGGTGAGTTGATCTCTGTGTCTGGATCAACTGCTCGAATGGGTTTAGGTTTAATACCTAAAGGTTGACCCTCACGAACTGTATCTGGCAGTACAACGGAATATTTGTCGTCAAGAAAACGTGGATTTTGATCGTCTGCATCGTTAACTATCACAGTGAGGGTTGTTGTTGCACTTAAAGGTGGTTCACCTTGATCTTGAGCTCTTATGGTCACCCAAAACTTGGGCAAAGTTTCATAGTCAAGTGGTCCAGTCAGAACCAAATCACCACCAAGTCGCCCTCTAAAAGCTACTAGATGGGAAAAAGGTCCAGTTTCAATTGAATATTCAACTGTACTAAAAGGACCTTGAGAATCACCATCGATAGCTTTAATACGATGACCGGGAAAAAGTGATGATCCAGGTACTGTTACCTCTGAAATGTTGACAATGTAAGGTGTACCAACAAACTCTGGTGCATGGTCATTGGCATCGGTGACAATTATACGCACTGGAATGATTATCGATGGATCTGTTGATTGAACTAATTTGCGACATTTGACGCCAATAACTATACCAGATTCACCTTCACTTGACTCTTTATCCAATTTACGGATTAAGATCAAATCTTTGGTTCCCGGATCGATGCGAATAGGTATATCACCACTCTCCAGTCTATTAGCTGAATGGTGAAGTGCTAAGCTAAGCTCGATTTCACTTTCTGTTTCAGGTGATGTGGACACATTTCCGATTACCTATTGAAATTTGGAGGAAAAAAAGGAAGTGTGAAAAATCAGAATGCAATGCCAAGAGAAGATTATTTCCTAGCATTAATCAACAACAATTGCCATGAAAAAAATTCAATGGAATGAGATATTGGGCAACAAAATTGTTTAGTTCAATGGTCATTGACTTGAAATGGTTTTCTGGACACTGAAATCGGGCAAAAACTTGAAGTAGTAATTGAATTGGCAGCGACTGTAGCCAATTATAGCTTACCAACAGTGGATACTTGCCAGTATCAAGCTTAACGAAAATTAATTTCAAATGGATTCAGATGATTGATGAAAAAAATTGATAACCAACAATTGACCATTATTATTATATATTTTTCTCGTTTTTACGTGAAAAGTTATTGTGATTAGTGAAGCAAAGAAACAAAAAATTTGTTCCAAGTTTTACGAAGGAAGGAAAAGATAGAATAATCATTATGATGATTAAGATGATGCTGATGCTGATGATAATGATGAAGATTCAGAATAAGATAACCTTGGTGGTGAACAAAAAAAACCAGTGAAGATTTACGGTTGATTGTTTACTTTGTTGCTATTATTGTTGACTGTTTGCGTTTTCATGAAATCACTTTTTTTAACTTCAACCAATTTTGTTGAATTTGTCTGTTGCTATTGCCATTTTGCTTACTATTTACTGTTGATTATGTTTTTATATTTATTTAACTCTTTTTACTCTTCTTCTCATTTCAGTAACAAACGACTGTTGATTCCGGTTGACAAGAAGCCATAATGAGAAAAACGATGTTCCCTGTTAACTCCACATTAATTCAATCTTTCAACCGGTAACTGGTCGTGTGTTGTTTGAGTATGTGATGATGATCAAGATGATGGTTAATAATGATGCTCAACATCATCAGTATCATGTCTGATTGTTGATGAAAAAAAAAAGATATTCCGAGAGGTCAACTATTTTACTCTCTTTCTCTTGTTAGTATCTTAAGCTCAACTACTGCTTTACAGTTGCAATATCAATCAAATTGAGACAATCTCATGAAATGATTTACTTTTTTGATCAACTATTGTACTTACAATTAAAAATAATTTGTATTCAACCAGTAAACACACATATTACACTCAAATAATAAGATATCATCATCATTGAAAGTTATATTTTTAGTAAGTCAAACAACAATCATTCATGGTTAATTAAAGAGATCGATTTACTTTAAATAGTCGCAATAATAAGTATCAATTATTATTCTTTTGCTGTTTTTTGACTTTAAAGTTAATAGCTGATTGTTTTTTACTAATACATCACATCATGAGGTTATTAAGGCAATTGTGATCTTTTTAAGCCATAATTAGATGAATAATAAAAAAAGATTTCATTTTCAAATGAACCGCTTCTTGCTCAAGCCCTTTGTTTTCATGTTATAAACGCATTAGAAAGAAATGTGAATCTTTTTTTTGTGATTTTGTGTTTTCATCAAATTAAATCATTTGACTTGATTGATTTCGCCAAATTATTATCACTTTACCTTTTGATGGAAATCTTTACTTCTTCCTTCTGATTCATCATCATCCTGATCAAGCCTCATGGAACCGTAAAGTCTTAACCAAGTAACTAATCAATGAACCAGAATCTGGAAGAGCGATGCCCGTTAATACCCTAAATTGTTTCAAATCTTTTCTGGTTATAACTTGGAGGATTAAGAAAGGAAAGAAGACTGAGAAGATGCCTGATAATGGCGATAAATTATCTTGAATTTTCCCTCCAATCTTTGAAAAGCTCATCTTTATCAACCATCTTTACATCCTGAACATAATTTGTTGTGTGTGTATATTTTCAACTCTTTTGTTTACCTTTTATTAACTTCTAAACTTTACTTTAACATGAACCCGATAACATAAGATTGTTAATGTTTGACAGAAACATTATTAATGACCATTTAATTGAAAATAAGGTATTGATTAATGGAAAACAATGTTGATTCAAATGTTAACCATTTTTGTTACAAGTCAGTCAATGTTTAAAAATCAGATTTAAATATTTACTTTTCTCTTTCTTTCTTCCATCTTCAATAGGTAATCAAATTAAACGGGAAAACTCATTGTTGACTGATTATTTGTTTTTGCCTGGTTTACCTGTGAATTATGGACCATTAAGTTCTCTGTCAAGGAAATAATAACAACTCAAACCTTTCAATCAATATTTACCTTGATTGTAGTTACAATCAGTATTGTATTTGCTACTTCTTTATTAATGCATTTGGACAAGGCAATAAAGGAAAGGGAAATCTTACTAATCATTATTTACCTCAAATGATTCCATTATAGCTTTCTAAGTGAAAGATTTCTCAGGTAAGGAAAACACCAAATCTTGTGGATTGAACAAAAAAAGAGACCAACATTTCAATTTCTAAAGTCAAGTTCATTGTTGCTCAATTCAGTGTTGATTGACATGTTAATCGTCATTCTTAATTGATCATGATCATCATCATTAGTTTAGGAAATCAATTGTTTCTTATCTTTTTCCTTTTAATGGCAGTCAATTGAAAAACTGATCAAATTAAACCGTTAAAACAAATAAAAATAACCTGAAATGATTCATCTTTCAATGACATCAACTTTTAGCAGTTATTAAATAGTAATTGCGCTGAGCATAAAATTTTTTTGGTTACTTAATCAACTAATTCACCATCTTTTAGTATCAATTAGCAACTTAACTAAATCAAGATCAATCGAAATATTTTTGAAATGAAACTCTTTTTTTGACTCTAAACGAGCCAAATAAAAATTATTGCAAAAAGGAAGTTAATTTAAACATAAGAGCATAATTGTAGTAATCAATTGACCTATTTACTCATTATTAAACAGTTATATTTATATTTGCAGGTAACTTGGAACAAAAAACGCAAAGCCAATTAAAGATGTTAACGCATTCAATTAGCAAGCATTAAATTGAAGATTATCAAGAGCAACAGTTCCTTGAGATGAAAATGGCGCAGCTGATCTTGAAAAGGTCAAAAAGAAAGGATTAGTTTGTTTCCCGATGTAAGCCGAACCATTTTTCCATTCAGACTGTTTGGCCGGAGTTAATAGAGTTGACGGACTACCGCTACTCTTCCATAGGACAGATAATCCTTTGCTTGCTTCATTGGGTTCACCTGAGTCAACTGTGAGGGTTACATAAAAGATAGCCGACAAATCGTAAATAATGTAGGAAAAGGTGAAATAGCAGGTTGACCTGGAAGAGTAAAAGGTTGGACTATTGAGGTGAACCGAGGGTAGATGAGGTAAATCAACTAGATTGAGTATCAAGTATTTTCCCTGCATTGTACGCGCTGAAGCGTCAATCAAAGGATGCATTTGAAAATATTTGGACGCATGGGAACCAGATATCAGGATCCAGGTAGCATAACGAGTACCTGATCTAGTCTGTGACCAACCACAAAGCTCTTTGAAAGCTTCCTGGTCGGTAACACTGTCAAGATCACAAACTGCCGGACAACGGAACTCATCTGAACCATCTTCACAATCAACTTTAAAATTACACTGGCCCCTGTCTTCTGAGCACCGAGTAACAGTCGTTTCGCAGTCATAATTTTCCAAAGGATTATTCCGTTTACCAGGAATATCTTCCTCATCACTTGCACCAACATCACTACAAATGGGATGCTTATTGTGAATTGATTTGTACGCTTTGAATCGATTCTTTTGCCTCTTTGATTGAGAATTCAGCTTTTTATTATTATTTATATTTCCTTTACTTCCAGGTCGTGAATTAAACACTGGTCGAGGCAAACTTGTTCCCGGTCCAGGTAATTTACCCAATCCTCTCCAATCATCTAAATAATCTCCTCTTGGACTATCCCTAGATGAATCTTTAGGCTTAGAAGGTCTATTCACTGGATTAACATTTGAATCGAAAGCAGTTCCAGTAACAGGATCACCGAGAGGAGAATCTTCATGACGAAGACAACCATCACTTATCAAAGTATCATCAATGGCAACAAATCCGTTGACGGGATGGCCAGAGTCAGTTGATTCAAGACGAATAGCTTCAATGACTGGTGTAAAAACATAACTAGCAACCAATGGAACTTTAACGGATCTCCATTCATTGTCTTTTGAACAGTGGATTACCAAAATAGGCTCAGGATCACGATCACCAACCATTCGTATACTGATTACCAGCTTAGCAAAGCCAATTCCAAAGGCAATATACTTTAAACTTAAAGTACATTTACCTGTAAGTTGAGCTGCTAGTGGATAGTGTCCGATTCGCACAAAAGAACCGTTGGTTGTCAACACTCTCGATGTTGTATAAAGATAGCGATCATTTGAATAAGGACAATGAGCATCTCCATAAGCACATGTATCTGGATCTGAGAGGCTCCATTTCAACCCATTGGTATAAGCAACTTCATGACGCCAGGAGCAAAGATCAGTCTCAAAATCACAAAATAGTTGAGAAAATTCACCATTTATGAAGATGAATCGAATGCTGATTACAGCCATTAAAATAGCAAGATAATTAATCACAAAAGCTGTCAATTTGCCCATGTTGCAAAGGAATACGAATATCACCTGACTATCCGACAAAACTGAACTATCATTGTCAACAGAACATTAACCCTAACACAGCAAAATAAAAGTTAAATCATGAAATAATAATCATTGATGTTCTGTTGGTTTTGCCAAAAAAATATGAAAGAAGCCACAACTCTTATTCATCTTTGAATTAAATTATTGAACATTTCTCATATTTGTTTTAAATCAGTCGTTCATTTGTTCCAAGCTGAGCAAGATAAGCTCTTTTATTGCACTTCTGTTGTTTACAGTTCCTCAAGGTTAACCGAGCGAATTGGTTAGTTGAATTAAATCATTTGTTTAACAATTTAGTCAAAGGTTAAACCATATTGTGCGAAAAAAGACAAAACATTGAAAAAAATGTAATAAACAGCCTAAGAAGATGGATGAGATTCATCCTGCAGATTGAGGACGATATAAATGAATTAAGATGATTGTTAAAGGGTAACAATTGTTTCATTGATTGGAACAGTTGAAATCTAAATTAAATAAAAGCTTAGATAATTGAATTAACAAAATTGAATAGATTCATTGTTGAACAATTGATTTGACATCAAGTACGATCTCATCTAAAGAAGTCATTGAAAAATGGAGGCAACCACAAAATTTAAAAGCAAACCAAATTGTGTTCAAATTACGCCAATATATTAATAATGGCAAAATTAAAGTAAAACCAGTAATCCATATTAATTAGGCTGCAACAATTAAACCTGGCAAAAAACAATAAATTTAACAAATGTAAAGAACTATGAAAGCAACAATTGAATTGGAAACGAAATGTTGAACTGATCTTTACCAAAAACATTAATCTAATCACAAAAATCAACTCTGAACAAGTCAACTGTATTGTCAACGTTTAATAACCCTTTTTAATGGTCAAGATGAGTGAAGATTGAACTCGTTTCCTTAGACTGGACAGCATGAAGAAAAGTGTGTAAACAGGTAAAAATGTAAATTCTGATAAAGGACAAGTTGACAATTAAGTTAATAAAACAAGAAGGTAGTTTAATATGTCAAAACGGAGGTTACAACTTCCGTCACAACTGGCCGCACATTTGGACTCATTGCATACAAAAGCACATAAAGGGCAACAATTTATGAAATAAACATTCAAAAAGCTGTAAACATTGTTGCATAAATTTTTACCCACTTTTGATTAAATAGCAAATTGAAGAAAGAGTTACAATTAAATTGTTGGTCAATTAAAAGGTTTACATTTTCAAGTTTACAGTTGTTCAATTGTTGTTGATTGAAAGTCAAAAGCCAAGGAAATAGATTGATAATAATTGAATAAAAGAGTTTGTTACCTGAAGAGATCCAATTGATGAGTTGATTGGAGTTGCTTCATTAACCGTAAAGGTTTGTGATGATCCACCATCTTTAAGGTAGCACAAATCATAACGATTAGTTAATTCACTTGATTTCACATAAATTAGGTTAAAAGAAATAAATATCCATGGTAAAAAGATCACTGAAAATGGCACTAATCCACCCATGGCTTTTTAATCGCATAGCTAGGTTTTGTATTGCAGTCAGTTATTAAATTTTGTCTGCTGTTGATCTGTATATCACTTTGTAGGCATCCGATGATGATAATAAAAAGGATACAACTGTAATAACAAAAACGCGTTGAGGTCAAGTTCTCACACAAATGGACTGACAAACAAACGTAACGTCCTCATTGAGAGTTAAAATGGTTCTGAGTAATGTTAAGCTTAAAGTCCCCTTATGGACCGGTAAACAGGTAAGGGAGCGCTGTAAGTCTTGCAGGTAAGTAAAAGAGGAGGATGATAAGGATGATGATGATGATGAGAGGACGGTGTTGGGAGGAGTTTTATCATCTTTTCACTCTTATTCCAGTCTCTCTTTCAGCGCTTTTTTTTTGGGTTAAAGGTTGGCTTTCATTGTTCATCTTGACTAAAGCTTTCTCCATGTAACAATATTAACAATTTTTGTCTCATTTTGCTACAATTTTTAATAAATAAATTTGTCGATAAACCGATTTCATGATTGATTCAATTGAACTCAAATTATTTCATTGTTTTGAACAAGTAAAATTATTATGCTATTGTCTTTTGTCAAACCACAACTTTTAATAAAACAATTAATTGGTTTGGGTAAACAACCGAAAAACAGCTACAAATCAATTTGGTGACAATTTTGTTAAACAATTAAACTGACAGTAACTTATTGTTGGGCCAATTAGTAAAAGTCTATCCATAAACTCAACTTGTTACTAAAAAGACAAGATTAACACAGTAGTCACATTTATGCACAAATTGACTCAATACTGAAAGAAAAATGGGCAAAAATTTACTCATTGTGGGTTCCTTCAAATTTAGACTCTGTTAGTTTATTAGTGAATAAAAACTGAATCCATTTATGCGATTTAAAAATTTCCCTGAACTACTGTTTTCTAGAAAATCGAGTTCAAAGTTGAAACTTCGATCGCTTTTTGTACAGTTATGGAAGCAGATTACAGCATGAAACTCCCTTTCCTAGTGTATATTTTGATTGTCGACCAGAAAATGAACTTGATTCGATGAATATAATTTCTTAAATCGCACAAATAGACTCAGCTTTTATGCACTAATAAACTAGCAGATTCTAAATTTGAAAGAAATTAATTTTTACCCGTTTTTTGTGCATTAGTTTCAATTTGAGCATAAATGTGTTAATTTTGTCTCTCCAGTAACAACCTAAACTGTAATCATTTGGATTCTTATGTTAAATGGGTTTGATATTCAACCCAAATTGTCTAAAACCTCAATTCTTTCATTTCGCTGGTTCAGGCTTGTAATTGTTTCATGGATTCTATCAAGGGTTTGTCAAACGACTTGATATTGATGAATCACTGATGAATTGATAGTGATCTGAGTTAATTCTTCACTTCAGAAACAGCCAAAAGTCTATCAATAAATACAGTTTGCTTGATTTTCTTTCGAACATTTGCTAGTTCGAGATATGGTTTTTCACCCTTCTTGTTATCAACTTTTATTATAAAGTCTTGCTTCTGTTTGGAGCTTCTTTCTTTCTTCCTATGTCTTCAAAGTCTTTGATCGACTGTCCATTTAAATCGTTACATAGGAAGGCTAACTACAAGCTTAATTCAAACTTTAGCACTGCTTCTCCTTGGCTCATCTCTTCTCGAGAGGCGATTATGCTCCATAAACTACAGGTTTTATTGTACTATTCGTGAAAGGAAAAGGTGAGGTGAGTTCAACAAAAGAATCAATTACAATACAAATAGACCCTTTAGTACCCTTGTCCGTGGGAAACGCGATCTCGAGTGACAAATAGAAGAAAATGTTTCCTTCTTTTACCTGTTTTATGTTGTCAATATCATCAAGAACCGTTCAGTAATGTTTACTCTGAAGTTGTGTTGATCAAGTGTTTATTTTTTGAGATTACGAGCTGCGAAGTGCGAGTTTAACAAGGTTCAACCTTAAACTCCTCTCAACATTAAAATTTAACTCAGAGGTTATGTTATGTTTCAGTGAAAGTTGACTCAACTTATGTAGTTGAATAACATTTGAATGATCTAATCATCTCCATGGAAATACGTTTGTGATGAAAATATTATTAATATAAATGACAAACAGGGAAACACGAGAAACAATAGTGAGTAATAAAAGTCTCTGAATTGTCTAACCACAAATTTTATCGATTATTTCGCTGTTGATGAACTTCCTTCCTCTGTATAATTCAAGATGAATATGTTTTAAACAAAACTCCAGTTAAACCTCCACTCAAACTAATAGTAATTAAAATCGAAAATTCATCCAAAGAATCTCGAATCTGTTTCATTCCATAAACTAAAACCAAATGAACTACAAAACTGAAACAAGTTCCAAACGTCTTGTCATCGATTCAAAGCCAATCATCACCCGAATCCAAAATAATCTGACCATTTACTGTTAATATAATTTCTCTATTTCTGACATTCGAATCCAATTTATCTGATTCTCAGCAACGATCTGGTCATGAAGTTCAGTTCATCAGCCTACAGTCAAATTAAAAGTCTAATGCAAGACAACTAGAAACAGTAAAAAGTGAATCAAAAACTGATGGAAATTTGAATTGGACAAAATGTTGAAAATAAAGTATTACTTAATAAGTTGATTGTAATCAACTGTTTAACCCAATTTTTGAACAAAGTAAATAAAGTTTCACCAATTTGGTTCATTTAAATGTGCAAAACTGAATAATTTGTTAACTCAATTGTTCATTATTATCAAGTATATTGTTTTAAATGACCACAATTGTTTGGAAATTTAAAACCACAAATCAAACTCATATTGAATCAATCAAATATTGAAAGTTGAAATATGTAACACCTTTGAACACTTTAGGTTAAATCTTTTTGAATAACAAATCAATCTTCTTGAATTAACCTAAAAATAAATCAAAATTGATTCTTTAGCATCAAATTAAAGCCATTTATCCAACCATTTTACATCTATTATTGATTCAAAAGTCAATTTTCATCAGTCAACTTGTAGGTTTTGTTTTTCATGACAATTTATGTGTGAGTGTTGATCAACTGACAATTAATATAAATCATAACTGTCAACCGAATCTCTCATCCTACTCAGTAAATTGTGTGAAAACTGATTCTTCAACTAACCTGCCAACTTATCGAGCAATTTAAATAGACAACAATTTAATCAACATTCAAGTGGTTCAATAGTTAAAATTAAATCAGTAAATATCATTGAAAATATCACTATAAGTGAAACCATTTAAAGTAATAAGTGGAAACAGATTTGCTTTCCAGTGAAACTGATCATGGAAACATCCAATTACGGAATAATTAAACTGATTCTTTCAATTTAGTTGCTGAATATCAATACTATTGATCCAATAGCAATTGAAAAGCTTCACAGTTTAAATTGAATATTGGTGCTTGGATCGGAATGAAATTCAAAATGTCTTTTGTTTAGTTCAGATTTTTATTATTGTTATTAACTGATTGTAATTTCTGATTGTTTCAACTTTAATAGTATTTGTTAAATTGTGAGCATTATTAATTAGAAAGATTGTAATGAAGTGAAAATGAAATGTAAACCAAACCAAGAATCTAAACATTATGCGAAAATGATATCAACCCAAATCAGAAGCTTGATTTTAACTCTAAATCACTTGAAATCATTCAACTTGGACAATTAACTCGTTGTAATAACGCACAATATTGTATAATTTTGTTTGGGTGAGGCGAGTGCTGGTTGTGATTAGGTCCAGTTTTGTGGTCACTAATGATGCTTGATGGTTAACAATTGAATAACAAAAGCACCTAAAAAATGGGTGATCACCAGCCTACACATTATCATGGAATTAATCATTCTGATCATGTTAGTGATCATGTTGATCATGATTTGTGATTAGTTGTGGTTCATGATTGATAATTTACAGAAATGTTAATAAAGGGAAAAGTGAATGGACAAGAGTAGAAAAAGTTAATTGTAAATTGAAAAAAGGTTAACTTTTAGATTGAACAGAAATGATGTAATTTATTTAACATATAATTATCAATTTTCCTATTGAAATAATTAACGAAAAAACGAAACCATTTTGCAAATTATGGCAATCATTTAATCGGATTGCTATTTGATTTTCACCATTAACATCAATATTTACTCTTTGTGGCAATGTAATTGCTAACGATTTAGGAAAAATCAACGAACAATTGAAATTTCCAACTTAATCATTTGGTAATTTGCATTTTGAATGATTGATTCAGTCTTAATTGTTAACCAGTTTTCATTGGATTTCATTATTTTTGATGAATTTTGAGCTTGAGATTCAATTGTTAATTGAAAGGTAAAACTGATTGATTTTTGCTCGTTTGATGCTTTTGTTTCATTTGATTTATTGATTCTTAACTGTTTAGATTATACAGAATTAAAGAAACTTGGAAAGTTGATTTAATTTTGTTTGGTTTGATGAGACAATTTAAAGATCATATTGAGTGATATTTTTGATTGAAAAGAGTTTCATTGTTAAACAGCTTTTCAAACCTAATCTTGGCTCAGCTGGAATTTTGTTTCATGATAATTGTTGAACTGCTTTTTCCAAGTGAAAGTAATCCAAATGAGAAATTATAATCTTCTTTGGGTTGACCGTTAAATTAACTGGTTAACCAGTTTAATTATTGCTGGCTTAACTGTTAAAAATAGTTGATAAAATGGTTCAATATTTTAATCTTTGGCTAACACTTATTTCCAAGTAAAGGTTTCCTCAAAACAGCAACAATTTTCACAAGTTAACATGTAATCAATCAAAATTAATTATAATATTGTTCATCAGTCAATGCATTACAATTCAAGTGATTATTTGCGTTTGTTTGAATGTTTAATTCGCATCTGGGAATGACATTTATCATGATAAATGAACATTTTCATCTGGTTAATTATCTTCATCTCAACTTGGCCATTAATTCAATTCAAAGGTTTGTCTGATTGTTAGCCTGAGAATAAATGGAAATAATGATTCACCATTATAATTGATTAATTTTGAAAGTATTTCAATTGATTGAGAGATCCAATTGTAATCAGGATTCACCATTTATGGTCAGATCAATAGTGAATTTTTAAAATGTGATTTCACTGATTCCTTTTTCATCCAAATTGTAAACACTATAATCATACAATGAAGAAGCAGTCAATTTATGGTTGATGATGGTATTACAATGGTCAAGATGGTTAACTGTAATAATCAGAAATGGTAATAATCATCATTAAAATGAAGGAAATGAAAAGCTTGGATTGAAGTTTATTTTCACTTTCATTTTTTTTCCTTCTTGTTGAGCTTTTTGTGTTGTTGTGAGTTATAGTTAATTGTTAACTTGTTGCTCTTGTTGATGCTGCTTCATTTCAGGCTTAAAGTTCATTTAGTCATGATGATAATAATACATGATGATGATGTTGATGGCGACCAAGATAACTGTATCATGGTAACTGTTTAATCTCAAAAGTGAATCTCATTTCACTTTTTTGACAACAAAATGTTTCTTAAAATATAAACTTTTCTTGATGATATCCAATGAACAATCGTCCGTCCATCCTTATAATCAAGTCAATTGTGAGCTGACCATTTTATGCTAATCAAAAGGTAATCTTGAGCTAATTTGCGGTAATAAATTTTATCCTTTGCTTTAATATCCACCAATGTTTATCCGGCTCTCGTCTCATCATGATCTTCATTAGTTAATAACAGAATATCCTAAACAATCAAGTTACTGGCCATTCATTGACTCAATAACCCAATTCATCACCAAAAATAATCACTCGACAAACGGATTACAACCAAGATTAACCCGAACCAAATAAAATACGCTTAATATTTCACTTAATTGAAACCAATGATCCAGGGAAGTGATCAGAGCCATTGTCATGCAGCTTGAAATAATTTAGTGAAACCACTTGAAGATCTTTAAGATTGAATTACTTTGCTCGGAAAATTTAGATTTCCGACTGTTTTGCTTGATAATTTGATGACAGTAGTGGAGCCATGTTATGTATCGATTGTGGGTTCGTCATGATTTTAACCAGATGAGCCATTGCTGTTTCTTTGTGATTTGTGAATGTTAATTCCTGCAAGAAATTGAAATGAAATTGTATTTAGTTAGATTGTTTAAGAATGTCAATAACCTTTCATTGGCATTTTATTGTCATAAGAGTGATTCCTAATTACCCAAATAAAGATAGGCCTACACACAATAACAATCACCGTTATTTTAATTGTTCCAATATTGATCAAATTTTTGCTTACTTTGTTATGAAAAACTGTTTATTTACTTGACTTGCCGGAAGTTTTGATCTAAGTCCTGATACATCACCTGAATCAATCAGTCAACTGATTCATCTGTTTGCTTCATTGATCATCTTCTTAAGCATCATTCTGAATGTAACACAGAGTATATCTACATCACTCAACACATTTGTCTGATTTCAATTGTAAAACACATATTACTTTTCATCAACAATTAAGGCAATTCAACTGGAAATTTAGAGATAAATTAAAATGTTCTGCAAATTCAATATTTTGTTTCATTTTCATAAAAGGTACAAACATAATAAAGCTCAGTGGTATCAGATAGACTCAAATAATCTCGGCAATAATGTCAAATAAGGTAAGTCACGCTTAAAACGTAATGATTAAAGCTCAATCAACATCCAAATACACAAACCAAAGCTTTTCGCGAATCTTGAGTTCAACACTTTTTCTCAGTTTCTTCTTGAACTTTATCATACCTGCTGAGCTTGATATTCAGGGTTCATCGTGCATTCTAAGCCTAATTATTACAATATTCAGAAAACCGTCAATATAATCAATCTTCAAGTTGCTTTCTGTCCGTCTGTTGATTTATGCTCGATATTCATGAAAATTATAACATGATAAATATCAATGATAAATCGATATACAGTCCAAGAAAATTGTAAAACCTTTAATTTTGCTTTCTCTTTTTTGTCTTTGGACATGATAAAGTTCAACTCGCTCATTCAACACGCTCTGACAATCCAGCTTGCCTTACCAAGAGTAGGATTTTCAGAGCTTGTAACTTGCACATCATCCAGGTAAATCTTATAATAATTGGTCAAGTTTTGTATCCTGATAGATTACATTGATTAACTTGGCTCATTACAATATATTTAAAAATATTTTCACCTTCATCTTGTTTTTTTAATAACTTCAAAAATCGACTTCATTCAGTTGTTGAACAAAGTAACAAATTCAAATGAACAGGTTTGATAGGGTGAAGTTAGGTAATCGTGATTAAATCTCACAATAGTAATACCCAAATTTTCAAATGATAATCTTAATTAAGGTAATGCCAACAGTTTACCCTCTTCACATTGTTTATAATGTAACTTTAAGAATGAAAATGTTTTATAAAATAATGGAAGCTATCGAAATAAAACAAAAATGCAATTTACCAAATAATGATATAAATTAAAAATAAGAAGGCAACACTAACAAACAGAAAGCAAGGCTATTTAAACTCACCATTAGTTAAGAAAATATCACTCATTAAAAAAAGAGTAAATTATAAATAAAAGTGTTTATCACCGGTACAAAATAATTACAATCAATTGGAATCAACCAGAATCTGGAGTTTCGAAGAATTGGAGATTGAAATTCAAAAGAAATTTAAACTCGATGTAATACCAATACAAATCTCCAAAAAATCCATCAACAAAACGCATTATCCAACTGAAAATGATCACAAGATAAAAATAATCACTGATCGATTTGAATCGAACCTAAACACATAGATTAGTAATACAGTTTAGTACCATTCACAGGAAAAACGCATAAATAATATCTATAAAAACACCAGAGTTGAACAAATATGGCGACATAAGACAAAAGATTAAAGAAAGCGATGACATGTTGTAACATTGCTTACAAAGAGTGTAAACCTTTGATTACTCATCTCTAACCGCCAATCAGGCGCCAAAATATTGCCAACCAATCAGAGCTGTTGATCAATTAAGTTTTGCCAGAAACCTTTTTGTTACCAGAATGGCTGGTAACAAAAATGGTTTTATAATCCTTTTGGTTTCTTAAAAGTTACATTTACAACAGTTAAACTCTTAATTAGTGTCTTTTCCATTGCAGTTTTAAATTAATTATCATATGATCATGGAAAGAATTAAAGTTTATTCTGTGAAACTAAAGTGAATTCAAATTGAATTAAAAGTGAATTCAGATTTCCATGGGAATGAGAAAGAAGACGCTAATGGATAAAATGATAAAAGCTGTGTTTAAGGACTAGCTCAAGGACTGAAAAGCAAAAAGAATGAAATTGTTTCATTACTTTGAATCATTATAAAGAATTCTATTACCAGGACTACATAGCACGCCTCTTTACATGTAATCTTATTAACGATTCACCTAGCCGTAACCCACTATTCTGACCCTATGCTATATCTAATCAGACTCCATAATTACTCTTATTTATTTATTCAATCTTCTGACTTCCTCTATCTTATTTCCTCTAGATGGTTTCACATGCCCAATATGGACGACTGATATCTCGAATCAACGGCATCATAGCTGCAACCAACCCTAAGCCTGCCAAGCTTAATATGGCCTCATAGGGGGTGGGTAACCAAACCACTCAGCCCAGTCGGGTTATGGCAGGAATCTGCTAGATGATGCTGATTTCGATGAAAGTTGGAAGAGATGAAGTGAGAAAATTGTGATTCTAAAGGTAAACTAGGTTTTTTTACCTTTGCCCGTGGGAAATTATATTGTGATACAATCGAGTGAGAAAATATTTCCTCTTTTCCATGTCTTCGTGTTTCCTTTTTATAAATGCTGTTGTTGATCTGGTGGACCTTTTTTGATTGCTGTTGTCTCTTGCTGCGTATTTTACCCTCAGGCTTCTTGACAAACCATTGATTTCTTGGGTGACACCATAAATTTTCAGGACTCCTAAAAATGAAACAATGAAAAATGTAAGTATTTGTCTTTTGTTTGAGATTAATTTGAAATTAATTTTGTTGTATTTCAACTTTTACTTTTTAGTTAAACATCTTTTTTCAACGGAAATCATGGAGACTCGTCTAACAACTTTCAATGGTTATTTTATTATTTATAATTATTATCATTATTATCCTTTGCGATTCGCTTGACTAATGGTTCTGGTCATCTCCATGGAAATGTGATTCAAAGATGACAAAACAACACTAACAACAGTTATCCATTGAATACGGCTGTCAACTTACAACTGTACAGTGATAGTTTGAATTGAACTTAATTGCTGTTTACTCTATCTCTTCAATCATTCATTTATGCTAATTGATTGTAACATTTATGATTTAAATAATCATATCAAGTAGGAAACCGAATTATATTGAATCAATTTTGATACGATTACTGAGTCAAACCAATATAACTGTATTAAATAGTGAGATGATCATTTAAACTTTAAGATTCATTTCCAAAGGAGTGTTCAGTCTCAATTACAGGTTTATGATTTTGAATGTCCATTCATTCAAATTTGTAATTATTATTAACTATCAAAATTGATTATTTCTCATCGTCTTAATATCATTGCATCATTGAACCAAACCTTTAACTGTGAGACAATTTATACAACAAATTATTCATTCGTTAACCAAACATAAAGCCTGTTTACCTGTAATGCAACCAAATAATCAATTTGATTGTTTCAAAAACAATAAGAAAATCGGACTTTAAGCAAATAACAGCTTCATTACTCATGTAATTGATTAAAGGTAAACAATTAGATTGAGAAATAATCAGTAATATATGAAGACGAGAATGAAGATTTGGTCAAATTAATGGTAACCTAACCTTTAAATGAAGTTATTTAACCACATTGTTTAATAACAATCAAAAATAATGATCCTAACCATCATTATATTGAAAAGAAAAATGAAAATTAAGGTGAAAAGTGTAAAGATTCAGAAGGATTCAGGAGCTACAGATAAATTGAATTCTTGACCAGCTTCCTAATTGACTTTTGATGTTGATTGTGTGTGTGTGTGTTGGTTGGTTGTTGCTGTTAAATGATGATTATGATTATAATGATGAATACAATCAACAGTTAGACTGTATTAAACTGAACGAACCTCACAAATGGTGAAACAAAGCTTAAACAAATACTCAGTTGGCTAATGTGTTTATCCAGCAAGGAAACCGCAGCAATTGAAAAAACCCATAATTTGAATGATTTTAGACTGTTATTCATTTTTTAATTCATTTGGTTGATACAAAAAGATTGACTAAATTATGGTAACTTCATTTAATTCTTGCTGATGATTATTTATTGCACAAACCTAGCAATCCTTCCCATTGTTTGTCAATGAGTATCATCACTATTATCATCTTAAACCATCAACATCACATTATGTAACAAAACAAAAAAACCTTTCCCACATCTCATCATCTCAACTTATATACCTGAATGTTCATTATAATCTGGTGCATATTTAGATGGTTATTATTACCATTAAACATTGTATACATTGTGTCCAAGAATCATGATAAGATGGCTTATACATCTTTATTAACCAAACCAAATGGTGAACATTAAATTAGGCCAAAAATTGGACTCTATTGTGATCTTTTTTATACTCTTTCCATTATTATTAGAATCAACAATTTGCTATTCACATTATTATTTTGTTTATCATTGTTTTCTCATCATTCTTTATTGCTTTAGTTGTGATCATTTGCTTTAAAGGAACACATTTCAGACGGAATCGAGAAAATACAAAAAATCTTACCTTTTGGATCCTTTCATTGATATTCACTTATTCAAATTTAACTTTCCTTAAACCACTTTTGATTGACTCACCTTTCAATCGGAAATGCACTTCCTCCCTTAACTTACATTAAAGAGTAGATCTGATTAAATAATTAAGATTTGACTGGAAGTAATTGTATTATTTTGATAAATCCTTGAATAAAGTTATTACACAAAAGTCATCCAGAAACACCATTCATATTGAAAATTGCGAGGTTTGTTTATCAATCTTTCACCTTATTACAAGATTCAAGATTCTGATACCGATGTAAGCATGATGATAAATCAACTCAAATATCCTTTTTGTCCTTATTTTGTGTGTTTAAGTAATGAATGATGAAAAATAAAGTTAAACAAATTAATGATCAAACAAATTCAAAAAAACAAAATAAAAAAATCCTGAAAAGAAAATGATGTTAAAGTGACATCTATCGTTTTTGACAAAAACTAATTAACGGTTTTTTCTTTTCAAATTTAATTTTCGCCATGCTGTGAATGTGTCTAATTTACTTCAAGAATTAAAGGTTATAATACTGTTTGATCAATTAATTGGTACTTCTATTGAATTATCTCATCATCAAGTATTCATTTACTGAAGTTATATCAATTTTTGCTGTTTGAAATATCCTTGATTTTTGTCTCCTCTTGGTGTGCTTATAATGTCAATCATATGAAATTGTGCAAAGGAGTTGCAAAAAAAGTCAACATTAAATGACGATTATGTTAATTTAGTTTGTCTTTTTCAGGCTATTGAGCTGAACAATTTGGATTGTAATATGTTAACTCTTTGTAAGTTGATGATCACATCATAATTCAAGGCAAAAAAGGACCATCAAAAAATGATTCTGATGGTGGATCATCATTTTAAGTCAACTTGGCCTTAAAACTAATTTATTCATATTATAATAATGATATTTTTAACATTTCCTCTCTCGATAAAGGTTAATTATAATTGTTACAAATATTTATGTGTATTGTAATCGTTTCCGTATCATTTTTCAACAGAGTCTGAGGACCAACTCATGGAATGGAACAAGAAATTGAAATTTGGCTTTACTCAAAAAATGAGTTGGAACAGACAATACAAAAGGAATTTTGAAAACTGTTACAGTTTTTCTAAACGATTACGTTGATGAATTAATCTGAAAAATTGTAAGTAAATCTTAATCATCTTTTATTCATACCTCTTTGTGTGTCATTTGAACATATTAAATTACCCTGTGATTCTGATTGTTCATATTTTTTCTCCTCCTTAAAACAGTTCACATCACACCCTTGATCACTCAACATTCAGTTTAATGTTATATCCACCAAACGGAGCTGTGAAAGTCAACAAGCGCTTCGATTTACTTCAAATTTATCTTGAATGATGCAAATTGGAAAAACTTGAGGACAACGATCAAAGAGAAATCACAATTCAAACGAATAGCTCGTTTTTCATTCAAAAATTTGAATAGTAAACTCAACAGTTCCAGTATTCACATCTAAATTATTAGGAGTGGTAAATTTAAGAGCTGATTCCCTCAAATCAAATGCTGTTGAATGATGATTATGGCAAGTTGAAAACTGATTTACATCCATTTGATTAACGATACTATCAATATCTTCATTAAAAAGACCTTTGACTAACCTGATCAGGAAAATACTAAAAATGAGCTGAAAAAATCGAAGAAACTAGCCAGACTTAATGATGAGCCTTTCGATTAACCACAATTCAGTGAATCTATATCAAAGTGGTTTCTTTGATTCATTAACCAACCCATACCAATATGTATTAAATCATCATCAACTACACAATGAAAGGAAAAGAGTTTAATTTTTGCCGCTTAATTAAGCCAAATGTTGATTGATTAACGTTAATGGGTGATCATTTCAAGTTGTTTGGTTTATAAATATACTTACTCGGATGTGTGTATATTTATATATAAAACCAGAAAATCTGATGATGATCATCATCATCTGATAGCCTAACCCTAATCATGGTTTCAACTTTTCGCCATTTTAATCATAATAATCAGACGAAATTAGTCAAAAAATGTAAAAGTGTTGACGGACCTTGATTAACTTGCCTGTTAATTGTTAGAGATGAGGTAAACTTTCAAATGGCTCAACATTAGATGAAACTTTCTCCAACAAGATGCATATTTTAATCACGTTTGGCACGTTTTACGTTTTTGTTTTCATTCGGCATCATCTTCATCATCTTCACTATCAGAATCACCAGGAAGATAAGCTTCAACAAAAATCTCATCAAAACGCTGACTTGTTCATTGTTAATCTATGTTTAGCTTCTTACCTAGTTCTAGGTACAAGATTCAATCATTAATAGCTTAATCGTGCGCTTCATTTATCACTAAATGAAGATTGAAACCTTTTGCTCAACCTGCATCTTCAATGAACATTTATCATCCATTTTCACCATCATCATTATCATCACCATCGACTTTCAACTCTTTCATCTTTAGTCTCATTTCATTAATCTTCATTTTATTTTTAAAAATTTTACCCTTTTCTTAACACAAAATTCATTCTTTTTTCTCAACCCTAATTAATCAATTAACTCAATTAATTGCTTCTGTCAAACTTAATGGTCACAATTTGCAAATCTTTGATCACTAAATTTGTACAATCTCAATATCACATGAAAAACTGAAATGTAAAACCTTTAAAATGATGAACAATTAGCGATGATCAGTTTTCAGCAAATTTTACGTTCAATCAATTATACAATCTAAAGTCTTATTTTCATCTTAATCATCGTTTAATCAAGTGACAATTACATTAACATGATGATACTTTTGTTTTGTGGTTAATGTAACATTAAGACAACAGTAAACTTTCCCACTTATTGTTATGAACTAAAGAGTTAATTGTAATTAACAAACTTCCGTAATGGTCAAGTTTAAAATGAAAACAAATGCAAAGTAAAATTATTATTCAAGATTTGATTTTGATTAATATCCAACTTGCTCGTTCTGACCATTCATAGCAATTTAAACAACAGTTAAACTAGGTTTGGCCGTTATTGTTAACAATTTAATAATCTCAATATCATTGAAAACAATGTTAACAAATGATAATCTTTAAGTTCATCTCTATTTTGACATTGGCTTCAATCATTACTCTTTATGTTGAACCATGATATCGATGATAAACTGATTCAGTTGAATCTGTGAATGTTATTTCACATTAAACAGCTTTGTTGAACCTTACAATTGTATTAACAGGTTGTAATCATTTTCACTAATCATAGTTATTAGGATTGTTACAGCAAAATAACAAACCTTGTTACCTTTATTATGATCACACTTTTTATCCTCATAATCTGGTTACATTGAATGATCAACTTGATTCTAACAATTTAATTGTAATTTATGTAAAATCAGTGGCAATCCCTTTTAATACGATAATATCAAATTGTGACGGAAGTTGATTTGAATTAAAGGTAAGCAACCAGATTTTACAATAGATTTAAACGTAATTTTTCTTCATTGAAGGTAGCAATTTAATATTCACAATTGATACAACAATTGTCACAATCATTGTTAGAGAATCGATTGTTAAATCTTGTGGATTCTTCTTACACTTTCATGGTAACATCAAAATTATCATTTGAGTTGTGCTTGAACTGAATACTTCAACATTACTTCAATGTTAAGTTAATATGATTTTGCTTTTTACATGTTATAGTTATTAATTAAATCATGACATAACCAGGATAGAAAATAAATGATCAAATTAACAAATAATTGTTGAATGATGTGAACATAAATTACGTTTTTGTCAGCAAACCAGCGACCAAATCTTTCCAATCCATTTACTGATTTCATTTGAAATTTTCTTGACTCGAGTTCATCTTTCCTCTAGTAATTCCAATTCAATAACTAATCTAATCGATTACACAGAAATTATTAAATAATCAAATCACCTAAAATAAGTGAAAGCAAATTAAACATTAAACAATCAAAGTGCAAGGCGTCAGCTTGACTTGAACACTTTCTTAGGCCTAGCCGTAGACAAACAACAGATTGAACAAATTTATGACACTTGATGTTGACTGTTGAACAATGTTTAGTTTAATCATCCATTTAACAGGCAATTCAAAGGCTATCTTAACTATAATTACTTATATTATCAGAATAATAAAATTCATAATAATTACTGTTGCAACTTCAATGGTTATATTGGTTTTGTCTTCAACTTGAGTTACAATTGTGTTTACAGTTGCTAACCATTGTCAATAAGCTGTTTAATTGAATGTGACCAAATGTCTCTAAATCATATAGTGATTAACACTTGAGGTGAAGTAAACACAGGAAAAAATGTTAAGAGGAAATTGGTGATTTTAATTGTGATCAATCTCACAATGGTTTGGGCTGAATTGAAACCCATCTTCATGCATTTGATAACCATTGAAATTGATTGTAAATTGGTGCTGACTTTTTTCGTTATACGCAATTTGTTTCATCGATAATGTAAAATTAAAGCAAACCAGTGCTACCTGCAAGTAAACAAAATCATTGTACTGAAGGAAAGTAATAAGCATGATATGATTGTTGAGCTTACTAATTTTGAGATTCAAATCATTGATCTGACATTTTTTGTATTTTCTTATCATTAATTGTTCCTTTATTTCAACATTAGCAATGATTTCTACCTTTGTCAAGGTAAACCTGGTTAACCAGTTTTGGCTTTTGTTACCAGAAAAATTTTGGTTTTTTACCCAATCCTTTTCAAATGTAATTCTTTTGATTCAACCTCTTTTGGTTAGCGACTATATTTGATCGGAAATCACCACAATTGTTGGAAATATTTTTTATGTTGTTGAATTTGGCAAGTAAATCAAGTTGAATTAGTTGCCATTTCTTACTAACTCCAAGACATTACAACCTATTTAAATAGGGCCATAATTATCATTATGATTGTGCGGTAGTAAAGTACAATTAATGATCAAAAATTACATAGCAAATCATCTAACATCAGTTGGATGTAAAGTCAGGATTGAGACTTCACTTCTCAATTCAAAATCTGAGCTTCAAACACAACCTGAAGCTATTGATCCACTAGTAGAGCGACTATCAAGACTGTTAATTTTATGGTTGATAACCTAAATAAATATAAATTATTTGAGCGCAATTTCGATGTTATTCATAGTGAGATCAAAAGTCAATGCAGCCGAAATCTGTTGGTGTAACTATCACTTGAAATTGATTGTAACAGTGAAAGTTAAAATGATTAGCAAATGTTAGCATTTTTTTATTACACTCTTAATAACTATTTAATGGTAGGACAACAAGTACCGACAAACACGAGTGAAAGCACTGTTTGTCAACCACTTTGACGAACAATTGAATTGGCTAGAAACTGGATGACAAAAATGAACGATTTTGACATTAATGTTTCTTTTTCTGTATAAAGCATTGAATTATTGTTACAAAATGTTCATAAAAAAATGATAAAGGTTTGTGCCATTGGTATTAAAGTGTATAATGTGATTATCAGCTCACTTTACTTGATCAACCACTCGTCAGACTCAAAGCAATTTATTTAACCAGTAAATCAAGTGGTGTTAGACAACAAGTTTTACTTTCAAATTGGAAAGCTCACAATTTTAATCATTGAAATTTAGCAAGTGAAAACCTTTCCATCTTGCTCGTTATCTCTGTTTATTTGAGCCTTTAATCTTTCCATTCTGGTCATCACCATCCTCATTGAGACTGAATCTTGTGATTCAACTATAAGATTGAAAAACCAAAACAGCTAATCACTCGTTTGATTTATTACCTCAGGTCACAGGCCTTTGTCAGCTAATCTGAAGTAAAGTGGATGAAGAGGAAGATAAGATGAAGACAGGTTAAAGGACGAGGACCTTTAAAAGTGTGATACTCAAATTGGACGCCATTCATTTGGATTAAGCTTGACTCATTTCAACAAAGTTATTTCATCTGTTCTGCTTCAATTTCAATACTGATTGAACGTGGAGTTGGATGAAAACAAATTGTAACCAGAAAATGTTTCCTCGGTTGACAATCATATGCTTAATCAGCGGATTAATAGGGATCATTCAGTGTAATACAATTCCTCATCAACTTGACATTATTATTAAATCACCATCAACCTCACCACAGCTTATTGACGACAGTGACAGTAAATACAAAAGTGGTAATAACACAGATGAAGCTGCAGCAAGAGCTTTTCTGAAGGCTCAAGAAATTGAAGCTGTTAAGATTTGTCGTAAATCTGTCCAAGCTGAATGGAATTTCGCCAGCAATTTGACTGAATACAACAAACAAGTTTTGGTAAGTTGATTCATAATTTTTCATTTTTCACTTATTTCCACTTTTAACTCTTCCATTTTATAATTCATCATCAAAATCACCAACATCGTTATTCTGGTGTCAGCATTATAATGTTGACTGATGGATAATCATTTTTACTATCATGAGATCAAGTTATAAATTCGTGAGTTTCATCTTTTCAAGTAATTTTCAATCGCTGATCCACATACTGAAACGGAGTATAATTTGATTAAAAAACTGTATTAGATTTAGGGTTGCTTTTAAATGATAGTTTACTGCGGCGATTGAAAATCAAAAATATAAATTTATAAATCAAAAAGAGCAAATTGAATTTGAATCTCTTAAGAGTACATCGGAAATTAGAAATTTTTATGCGTCTTAAATTGTACAATTGTATTGTTGTTGTACGCAAATTTCATGGTCACTTTAGGGCATTCTTAGATTGCTTGTACATATGGGATAACAGAAGAAAAGAAGTGGGCCAAATTAATAATTTCAAATAAAGTTGGAGTAGAGTTGGTAAGTGAAAGGAAAAATTAGCCGAATTGGGTAGAGAAACGGAATATTTGCCACTTGCTTCTAAAGATTCAAGTGAAGATTTGATTGTCAGGGCTTCCAGAATGATACCAGCCGGATAAATTGGATACCAAGCAGTGTATCTAAGAAAGGTTATCAACTTAATTTTATAATTAAGGAGAGATGAGATGTAAAATGGATAGCGAAAGCATTCTATCGAAGACCAAGCTAAAATTAACCACGGAACAAACCATTTACTCTGGACTGCAGCAATATCATTGATTAGAATATGAAGAATGAGATTACGACCGCCAATTTGAACGAAAGATATTAAAGGAGATCCACCAGTTAAACCAATCAACACGTGTAATACCTCAATAAATTGTAAGGTTTGAAAAAAGGTGAACCTTGGTGATATAGCTTGGTAAATTTGTTTGGCACTGATAATATTGCTATCAAACAACAATGCATGCAGTAGGTAATAAGTAACACTAGAAAAGCCAATAAATTGGACCAAATTGTAGGCTGTAAGGTACAGTCGAGAACTGTTAGCCATTCTAAATATTAGATTGGCAATCAAGCAAATAGATAATTGCAAAGAGATTAAACTTTATTAAAAAACTTGGCAATAAACATAATCAACAAGATTTCCAAGTATCTGTATCTGTTATAACGATACAGATAAAGATTTTTATTAATAAGTATCAGAAAAGTTACGCCATCTGATGCATTTTCAAATAACCATTCCAGTTGTTGATAAATTTTGAGAAAATAATTGAATTAATATTTTTAAATTCTGAATACAAATGGAATCAGTTTGTTCCCTTCTCGTGCAACAATATATTTAGTTAACAATTCATCATAATCTCGATTAGAGTGATGGGGAATCCTATTGAAATCAGTTAGATTGACTTTTCTTGAGCTTTCATTTTGTCACTGCTGGTTGTTGTTTATGATCTGGTTATATAATCTGGTTTTTCTTGATTCTTATAACTCGTGTATTTTCAATTCTTGAGTGATCTTCAACAAATTGTTATCTTTATCTTTATTGCTATATCAACATGATAACAATCAGTTTTGATTATCATTTGACGTTTTGTGAAATTGTATTTTACCAAAGCCAAAACTAGCATTTACATAACAAAACAACATACAAATTGATTCAAGTCATTGTTGAGTCGTTATCAACTCTTATCATTATTTAACCAGACAATTTCAAGGTTTCAATCAGCTAATTAACAATGTAACCCTTAATTACAAACACTTTTAGATCTTGAAAACATGTGATGATAGAAAACTTAAACTATGCAGCTTAATGTATTTCTAGATTGAAATGATTGTTATCACCATTAACCAGACTGACTCCAATGGCCATTGATTAACCTAAACATAATGATGAATCCATTGAAACATGAAATTACCCAAAATGAAATAAACTCCCAACAATACTGGTCATTGACATGATTAAACCTTGACTCTTGATTATCATAAGATTGAGCATAAACGTATTACAATTTGCTTTCCTTTTCACAATTGCTCAGTTTTTCAGTATCAATTTGTTTCAGCTTATTTTAGGATTCCCCATGAAGCATGAAAATATTAATAAATAACATGAAATTGTTGAATATGATGGAGCAATAAATTTGACTGCACTTTGATTGTTAATCCACTTCTTTTTATGGACTTTACCGTTTATTTATCATAATCTTGATCTCATTTTCATCTTCATCACCATCAAAGCTCATTGTTTACCCTCTTTATATTATCATCATCCAGCCTCATCTCAAGATTAACATTTCTTCCTGGTTTCCATATTTAAACACTTTCTGATGAAAACAACAAACAATCTTAAATTGACTTGCCATTAACATGAAACCAGAAATTGATTCAGATAAATTTATCAACTTGAGTTGTTGCTGTGTAACTTCAGTCGAGTTAAACATTGAATCAAGTTTGATGTGACATAATTTGTTAATAACCAATTGAAAATCACTTGAATTGATGGAAACAAATAGTAAATGTTTGTCAACATTTACTTTTCCAATTCTTTTCCCACTTCAACATCAATTGACAAAAGATTAACTTGCACCTTTGAAAATGTTATTAATTGTAAAGGCAAAATTAACACAATCTCTTGATCAAATTGTATTTAATAGCTTGAAACATCCCGTCAATCAGCCAACTTTGCAAAGGAAACTTGGTACAATGCAACTTCGTTTGCCTGGAAAAACTTTTCAGATCCATTGATTCGTCGTTGGTTTAAAGGATTATCAGTTCTAGGAACTGGCGTTTTAGATGGATACAAATTGAATCAGGTAAATGGCAATAATAAGGCTCAAAATGGAGCAAATCACCAAAAATTAGGATAAATTTTCATTGAATATTTCCAATTCTATTAATAGTTGAATGAAATCATTGCTGATATGGAAGATGCTTATTCAAATGGTAAAGTCTGTCCATATTCAGCTGAGCCAGTCACAAACAAATCCCTCTGTAATTTAAATTTTGATGAAGGTAAGAGGCTCAACTTCCTAATCACAAGTCAATTGAATTTAGTTTTGCGTCTAATCGATGTTTTTATCCTCATTTCAGATATCACGGAAATTATGTCTAAATCACGAAATTACGAGGAATTGAAATCAATTTGGACTCAATGGAGAGATGTTACTGGTAAAAAGATGAGAAACAATTATCTAAAATATATTGAACTACTAAATGAAGCTGCAAAACTCAATGGTGAGTTAACCAACAAATTGGAAAAAATAAATTCAAAGGTTCAACTTATTAAAAGCAGTTAAAGATGAAAAAGGTTGTTTAACAATGTTGATTATCATATGTAATTGGAAGGTGATTAACCACAAATCACAAGTAATTACAATCAAGAGTTGTTAGGCCTTAAAATGCTGGGCCTTGAGATGGTCAATGGAGATTTAATGGGGGACAAAAGATGATATGTTGACCATTTGAAATGCAAATTGAAAATTGAAAGGCACAAAATTGACGAGTGTAATTTAAAAACTGATTACATGTTAAGAGACACCAATTTTTCATACTTTGTTTCAGTGGAAAGTTAAATTATCATTTCTTCAGCTACAGAATAAATTTGAATCTTTTTGTGTTCAACTTATCAACTTGCTTGGCTCAAATTGTTTGCCTCATTTACCAGTCAAGTTAATCATTGTTATCACATTTCCAATGGTAATTATTTCAGGTTAAACCACAAATGATGGACTTATTTGGGTTAACCAATATGTAATAACAATGGTAATTTTGGCTATTTTCAACCTTCTGATTGCTCGATAATTGTTATGTTAAACTTACAAATGGATCATTATAAATGCATTACTGAAATGGCTGGTTCTTTAAAAACAAGTTGAGCCTTTGACCTGATTTGGGTTACATCTATGTGTTCATTTTGACCCTGTAACCTTTCATTTTGCTTTACCTTCTTATATTCAGGTTTCTCTGACAATGGTCAACTCTGGAGAGATGGCTATGAATCAGATTCATTTGAAGATGATTTGGAAATAATTTGGAATCAATTTGAACCATTGTACAAACTGTTGCATGCTTTTACAAGGAAAAAGCTTATAGCAATTTATGGTGAAGACAAAATTAAGCCAAATGGTCCGATTCCAGCTCATATCCTTGGTATGATTTTTGTAATTGCTAACAATTTACTAAATTTTATTTCAAGTTCCAATGTTCAATCAATTGAAATTGAAATCTCAAGGGCTAGAGATTGTCGCCATTTTTTACTTTCCTGGTTTAATCTGGTTTCTTTGCTTTTCTCACCTTCAATGTCTTCTCATTCAGATCATATTATTTGAATGGAAATCCATTTTTCATGTAAATGATATCCATTTATTGAAAGAGTTGAAAATAGATCAAGGAATTTAATTTGAAATTCAAACAGATCAATCATTTAATATTTGTAAATTGTCTGACTTTTTTATAGCTTGGTCTGTTTATCGATTCAAATTTTGAACAATTATTTTGTAATTAGAAAGTGATTTGTAATTGATCCACGATTTAGTTTATTATCGATATTTTCATCAGAAATGATAAGTTTTTCTTTTCTTGATAAAATTGAAAATTCGTCATATACTCAGCATTATGTTTTGAAGATTTTTTAAATTCTCTAGATCTTTAGACTAGGCTTTGTTCAATTTTGATGATAATAGAGTAACTCTCTTTCAACCCAAGATTATCATTCAAAATAAAGTGATGAATATGATAGTTACGTTGATAAAGGTAGACGTAATGAGATTCTTGGTATGCTTCAAAATTATGAATAAATGAGTCTTTTTAAAGTGAATATCCTAAATTCCTAGAAGTTAACTTACCATAATTCATTTGATTAATCAGCTTTATTCAACTCTTTTTTTTCAGGAAATATGTGGGCTCAATCCTGGAGTAGTTTGGGTGACTTGTTAACTCCTTTCCCAAATAAACCATCAGTTGATATTACAGATAATATTCTGGCCAAAGTAAGTTGACAAAAGTTGATGAGCTCAGTACAATAATGAGGTTGAAGATGGTATAGAATCGGCTAGATTTTAGGGTGAATAATGGTTAAAAGAGAACCAGAAGGTTCATAAGATCCAAATTATCATGGGTTAAGTTTCTAATCGGTTAAATTAAGATTACATTATTCAACTGGTCAATTCAAACGTTAAAGCTGAATCAACAAAATTTACAAACCGCTAGTGATATCTAGCGAGAAATTTATCAACCTGTCGTTAGCGACACTTTTAAATGAAATTTTGTTATTTAATTTTACAGAATCTAAGCGTTGTCGATATGTTCAGAATATCGGAACGATTTTTCACCTCTTTGGGCTTGAAGCCAATGACGGACAAATTTTGGAAGTATTCAATCCTTGAGAGACCGAGCGATGGACGTGAAATGACTTGTCATGCCTCAGCTTGGGACTTCTGTGATGGCGATGACGTTAGAATCAAAATGTGTACTCAGCGCAACATGAAAGAATTCATTGTTATCCATCATGAAATGGGCCACATTCAGTATTACATTCAATACAAGAATCAACCTTATGTTTTCCGCGGTGGAGCCAATCCAGGTTTTCACGAAGCTGTTGGTGATACACTTGCCTTGTCCGTCTCAACACCAACTCACCTCAAAACCATTGGACTTTTAGATGAAATCTCTGCCGACTCGGAGGGTGATCTTAACCACCTTATGTCTATGGCTCTGGACAAGATTGCCTTCCTTCCAGTTGGCTACCTCATGGATCGATACCGGTGGAAAGTGTTTGCAGACAATTCAACTCATTCCTCACTCAATCGACTTTGGTGGGAACATCGACTTCGCTATCAAGGAATCTGTCCACCAGTAAGACGAACAGAACAAGACTTCGATGCTGGAAGTAAATATCATATCGCTGCTAATGTCCCTTACATAAGGTAAATTATAACAGCTTTTGTCCAAATAGATTTACAAAAGCAAATCATTGCGAATCTTATTTTCTTGATTCTCCATGAAAGCCATTGGACATTTTTTTCTCGAAACAATGGTTCAATGAGAAAAGCTTATCGAGACAAAAAATTCTGATTTTGAAAAGAATCCAGAAAATGCAATAAATCTTGTTGACACTGAATACAATAATGATAAAATGTCACAAAATGAATGCATTATTTAATGCAAGATAAAAATAGTCCAATGGTCTGAATATGAATGATTATAGCTTTTTTCTGATACTTTTCCCTATTAAATGATAGTTATCATGATTGGTATTATTGATAAACAATATTAACCTTTTGTATTACATGTGAATATGTTTATCAAATTAGATGAAAATATATGAGACGATTTAATGAAATTTGATAAAGATTGATTGGCCGCAGAAAATGACAATTAATGTGAATACAAATGAAAGACTAATAATGAAACGGAAATTATGATTGAAAAATAGTTTGCCTTCAGTAAATGAGGAAAGAAAATTAATGAAAAAAAGTGAAAATTCTGATGATAAATTGTTCACTGAAAGGAAACTAATCTTTTCGCCATTTTGCTATCAAAGATTAGCATCAAAATTTTGTTCAATATTTTCATTGACTGTCACTTGAATGCATTTTTTGTCCAATCATTTTTTCATCTCCCATTGAAATAATATTTGCTTCATGATCACAGTAACTCTTTTAATAACCAACTCAGAATCATTTGAATCAATGTGAAACCTAGAAGAGGAAGCAATCTTTTCATCATGTTCACTGTTTCCTATTTCATTTTCATGGTTGACCTGTAACAATTGAAATGCCAAAGATTCACTGGTTTGATTGCTCTTGATCCTTCTGTTCATTATCACTTTCATCCATGTTTATATTGAATGAAAGATATGAATAGAGCTGAAGCTTTATCAAACAGTCTGGCTTGTCTCTTCAAACTGATGAAGAAAATGTTTCTCTATCGATTGATAAATTGAAATTACATTCCCAGGAATCAAAGGCAATCTTCAATCAACAACTAACAATGAAAAATAACCTTAAACACCATTTCAACTCTGATTAATTTATATCTTTCCTTGTATTTTCAGATACTTTGTCAGTTACATCATTCAATTCCAGTTTCATAAGGCTCTTTGTCAAGCGGCTGGCAACACTGGACCACTTTATCAATGCGATATTTATCAATCTCGAGAAGCTGGACAATTGCTGAGGTAAATTGAGTGGTCCATTAAAAGAGATTAATAAAGTGTTCCTTCATAATTAATCTATAAAAACTGAACCTTTACAAACAACAGAGAAAAGATTAATGATTAAGTATTTCCAGCTTAAATTGTTTGCTTAATTTTCCAGATATTTTTAAACCTTTCAACCAAATAATCTTCAATAATTTCAAGAGTTGTTATTTTGGGAACAAAAAAAACTTAATATTCATTTTGGAATCAATTTAAGTTAGGCTTTTCTCTGTTGTCTGAATCTCTTTCAAGTTTCTGTCACAGCATTTACATTTTTCTCATTTTTTTGCTTTTTCTCTTTCAGTAATGTTCTGTCTCTTGGAAGTTCAAAACATTGGTCGGAAGCATTGGAGATAATCACTGGAAGTAAAAAGATGAGTGCTCTTCCATTGATGGAATACTTTGCTCCACTCATTGATTGGCTCAAGACTCAAGTAAACGAGGATGAAATTGGATGGGTTTCATCGGATCCAATGATTTGTCCATAAGGAAGGACAACCAATTAATGGACCAATTTAAAAGATGAATTAAATTGACTTCAAATCCAGACATAACCCAAAACTGAAAACATTAACAGCAATTTAACTATCCAACTTTGTCAACCAAAATGCGTTTGCTAAAGCTGAATATTTTATAGTTTGTTTCAATTAACTTATTTATTTAGCTTAAACATTAACCTTTTTGCCTGAAAATGTTGATATTTTTAGCAATCTCGACATTAAATGAATAAATTTGTAATTGAAATTACAAAAGTCAACTTTATATTTCAACAGTTGAGACAATGAAAACCAAGACTCACAAAAAGCATCAAAATTATTCTGGTTTTTTTCATTTACCTTCTAAAATTAGATTACCTTTTTTCATGTTTAATTTGTTTTTTTAATTCATTTCTACTTCTGACATATCATTCATTTAATATGATGTGAATATAATTTTACAAGAAATATTAATGGCTTTACTGTGTTTCTGTGTAACATTCAGCCTTTTCAAATGTTGAATCTCTGTAAAGCAAAAACATTTCAACTTGAACAACATATTGATCCAAATATCTTGAGTGTCACCAATAATTCAATTGTTATCCTTCATTAATGTAATTGTTGATTGTATTAATAGAAGAGGAAAAGGTTTTCAAAAAGATTAAGAATGGACAAAATTACAGTAAATATAAATCCAGAAGCTGAAGCATTTGAGATTTACTGTAATCAGGAAAGATTACTCGATTCAAGTAAACTTCATGTTATGATTGAATCTTTTTTTTCCAGTTTCTTATTCTGATCAAACATTTACTGAAATAATTGTTAGACTGTTGTCAGTTTGTTGTTAAATTGTTGTTGGTTTGTTGTTGGATTGTTGTTGGATTGCAGTTGGAATCAACATTTTGTTCAATTATTGTTCAACATTAACTGACTCAACTGATTAGTTGACTGAATCAAATAAAACAAAAGATAAGAGTTAAAGTTAAACAGTTTTAACGGTTAAAATCCAGGATAAATCTGAGATTGAATTTTACCTTTATTCAGGTAAAAATGAAAATCTTTTTGCTTCCTATTATATCAAGTTTCCTCTTCATCATCTTCAAGATTTGAGCTTCATTTGTGCGCTTTAACAGTAAATAAGAAACAAGTAAATACCTTGGAGAGATTGAACTGAATCAGTTTGCTCTGAACATTATTATCATCATTATTGTTATAACTGTTATTATCAACCAATCCAAGGGTTGAGAAGGTTCACTTTGAAAGGGAAAAAATGATTCAAGAAAAGGCTTGTTGACACCAAACCTAATTGATAGATCGAGCAACTTGGTTAACCAGCTTTTGATCAACTTTGCCCGAATATCATTGTTAACCTTTCATGTATTCAGTAAACTTGATAGGAAAACCCGAATCTTTTGGGTTGTCAATTAAAATACAATGTTTAATAACAATATTAATGTTGATAATAGTAATCATAAGAAAGATATTAATAAAACATTGAGTAAAGGTTATTCACTAGATGAGGTGAAATCCTTTTTATACCTTCACTTTCATGACTTCATTAGATTTTCTTGGATTCTGTTTGCTGATACTTTTTTGGCTTGGAGTTTTTTTTCCTTGCCATTCACTGTCTTTGGTAATATAATAAATAAAATTATCATCAACCATGGAAAAGTCTTTGTCTTTCAAGCTTTGTATTTTATTTTCCTACTCAATTTGGTCTAATTGTAGACAAAGCTTTTTATTTTTTGTTCACATTAAACTGGTTAAGCTGTTAATCAGTTTCCTTAAATGAACTCAACTTGAGATTGACTTGAGCTCAAGGTTGAAAACAGAATTGATTAGTTTCTAAAAATCTCTTTTTTTCTCGTGTCTGTCTTAAGCTCATTATTATTGTGAGTAAATAAACAAGGAAAGGATGAAGATTCAAGTTTGAGGTCTAAATTGAAAGGTGATAAAATGATTTATTGAATCAATGAAGATTCAAGTTTTAAATGTCAAACTAAAATGTTGTTAGTAAAGTTTTCAATGCTTTTATTTTATCTTGTAATTACTGTATCAGTTATTTCAATATTAAATCCTTGCTATTGCAGACTTGTTCAACTTTCACTGATTATTAACAAAACACTCAAAAAAATTTCAAGTCCATGAAACTATTATCAAAGGTTATTAAATACAAGATAAAAAAATGACTGAAGATGTTCAAGTATGTCTGATTCAACTAATGAAAAATCAACTGTTGAGCAATTTAGATATTGATCAATGATCATAACTCTGAATTTGCAATTTTACAAGTTTCTGAATCTGCTTACTGGATGTCCATTGCGTATGGCTTGACTTAACACAAGTTAACCTGTTCCATATCGTTTGCTACTTTACTCAGGTCATCCGGTGATCTTTCACTGACGATAGTTGGAGGTTCCCCGACTATCAAAAGGTATGATCGCCCGATGTGGGGCTCGAACCCACGACCCTGAGGTTAAGAGCCTCATGCTCTACCGACTGAGCTAACCGGGCTTGTTGTTTCAAAAGGATAACATAATGATTAAATGGTGTCATCTTTGTCATCACGATCCATGTTGCTGTTACCTCAATTGGGTTCAGTTGAAAGTTGCCCGCAGCAGAGGAAAAGGTTGAAGGGAAAGTTAAAAGATTGACAAAATATGATGCTTAGTTTATTTTTTCATGACAATTCTGTTTTATTAACAGATTTAAATGCCTTCAGGTAAATTTACAACATTGTAGACAGTGACAGAGAAAAATGAAGAGAAAAATGTTTTTGTAAAAAAGGGAAAGACAAGAAAATGATTTTTCAAAGGATAACATGAAAACTCGAACTATACAGAAACAGCGCATTCGTAGTTACATTTTCATCCTTCTCATCCTTCTCATCATCACCATCGTCTTGCATCAACGTATCAACTGAATCATTGCTCTTCTTCAATTGTAATTGTGAGTTGGAAGAAACAGTTTCTTTGACTTATCACCATTTCATGTTAAATCACCAACGAAAAAAGTTAACTGCAATGAAATGAATATGAAAATTGTCAACTTTTTGTTCGTTTTTTGATTCATTTGCTTTTATTTTTCAGTTTCTTGATTCTTCAAAAAAATAAGATTGAAAGAAGCTTCTTTTTGTTGTTTCACAGCTTCATTATTTAATCATTACAATGGATGGTTTAATTAGCATGATAATGGTTGTTACCAAGTTTCCCATTTGTTTTATGTAACCATTATCTGTTCAATCTCATGTCAATTGTTACACATCAACAAAATCATTCAATTGTTAATAAATATTTTCATCTGCCTCATCATAATCATCAGCATCACTAACATCACTATCATTGACAAGCTAAAGCTCAAAGCCAAACCAACAAACTTCAACAATCAAACCGTTGACATATCAAGATACATTCAGCCAATAATTGCACATCAAACAAGACAACGTTATTAAACAATCAGTACTGATCAATATACTAATCAACACTGTTAAACCTTCTTAATGCCGCTCAATTTTGGTGATAAAACCAGGTTTGATTGTAACCAACATCCGTAAGTACATTTACTTGTTTACCAAAGAGACAGCAAAAAATAAGGAAAAGGCAAACATTTCCAGTTTCCTATCCAATTAAATCGATTGTTCATCACATTTAACTCATAATCAACTTATCTTGACCAAATGTCAATTACAGTGTAAATCAATGACACATCGAACCAATTTAAAAGCCATTTCAACCAACAATTAACAGTTTCATCTCTAAACTCAATTCAAAATGAGTTGTGAAAAGAGTTTCTTCAATCGCCAATTTTTATTCAATTATTTCAATGGAACAAGAAAAACTTAAACTCTAATTGACTCCAATTTGTGGTTAAATTGTCGTGAAATTAGTTGGTCTAACCATTGCGCTCATTATTGTTGACTAAAAGTACGATTGTGAGACTTTGACATTTGTTCATCTTAAGTTCATTTTCATCATGTGAATATCATTATGAATATCATTAAGCTAATAGACACTCAAATGTTGAACTTATCTTAAGTTTTTTCTTGGTTTTTTTAACCCAAAAAAGTCATTGCAAGTAAAAAATGTTGAAAAATAATGAGTAAAGTAAATTATTTTTACTTCTTTACTTTACAATTTACTGTTGCTCATTACATGATATTCAATACCTTTTCATCTGAAATGAACCAATTCAAGTGAAATTGATTTCTTGATTGTCTTCAAGTTGTTTCGTTTTGCCCAAATGATACACGATAAAAGCTGATAAAAGCTGGGAGTGAAAAATAAAGATAAACAACATTTCACTTGAGAATAGAAAATTGAATAAAATTCAATTCTTGATAAGATTTCCTCAAAATTGAGAGGAACCCACATATTCAACCAAAGGTGACTAAAAAGGTATGAACTTTGAACCATCAAAAGTACCAGAAACAGTTGAGTTTACCTTTAAAAATGTTAACACTTACTTTCATCTCTAAATTATTGATGTTTAACAGTTGATATTTTTTTCTGGTTTTAAGCTTCAATTTTTAATCTCACTGTTCATTCATGTGATTCATTATTTTCATGAGAAGGTTTGATAAGTCACTTAGCTGAGAGGTTCATGGTAAAAATGGTTGCAAGGTATTAATGGTCGAAACATGGAAAAAGATGAAAACAAACAAAATATATTAAAAGTAAATTGATTCTGACAGTTGCTTTAACCTCAAACTACCTACAACATTTAGTCATATTTTTTCATTCCAATCATGATCATCTTCTCGTTACTGTATTAGCCCATTATCATGACTCTGGTTGGTTTCAAGAAGATTCAACTGAAGAAGCAAAAATTGTTCTCAACATGATACAAAATTAGGTAAAGACTGAATAAAAATGGAGAAGTTAAAAGCAAAAGGTAACAAAAAGATTTTTTTTTGTTCGCTTTTCTTTTCATTCAATGCTATTGTTTGAGAAAGAAGAAGATGAACGAAGAAGAAAAGGAAAAGAAGATTATGATGATAATGAAGATAAACTCATGGAACCTTGAAATCGTCTTCATTTAGGTGAAAAATTGGAACTGAATGTTGCTCTGAAATCATCTAATGATAGATTATTTTCTTGCCTTTTTTGCTTCTTTAACCACACATTCTCATGGATAAAGGTCATTTATCAACATTTTTGTAACTCTTTCACCTTATCGTTTTCTTATCATTATCATCATTGGATTTATTCTTTGGCTATTTCACATTCTGATAGAAATGAGCTTCATTACAGATTGCTGATCGGATGAACAAGCATTTTGATTTTAAAGAAAATTTTCATTGAAAAGACAGCAAACAGAAAATTGAATCTTGAATGATAATTTTCATCTTCTGATCATTTTCAAATCTTTAGACTTGAAGATTATTATCAGAAACTTGCTGGGAGTGAAAAATATTTTCTTGGAAAATCTAATGAGTCTGGTGACTTTTATGTAAAATTTCAATTCATTCAATTAGATAAATTGAATGAGTCACATTGAAAAGTTGAATAAAAATCGAAATTCAGTTTAAAGGTAATTCCATGACTAGTTTCATCTTTCAACTGATTACAGTTTATGAAATGATGAGGAAAACATGTTAATCAATAGCTATTAATGTCTACAGATTATTATTTTATATCAATTATAACACCATTAGTTGAACAATTTTTGGGTCTCTTTTCGGTTTCTTGGGTTTTCTGGTTAGAAAAGGTTAGAAGAGGCTCGCTGGGAATAAACTCAATTTAATATGGTCACAATTGGCAGTTTTTGTCGTTGATTGATTGCAGTTTATTGGGTTTTTATTGATATTCAGCTATTTAGTTATTACTCTTACCAAGCAAAGGTACTCTTAAGTGGACATTTCAGTTGAATCAGGATTTAGGAAAAGTTAAGGAATGATAAAAGCTGATAATTAGCACTTGTAAATGAACAAGGTTGTAGTTTTGCTTTCAATTAAATACAATAAGCAATACGTACAGTTTACTGTTGATTGCTTTTGTTTCTAACAATTTGTTTTCTTGTATTATAATGTGAGAGACACTTGAGATTGATTCAAACTCATGGCTAAATTAGAGTTGGAATTAGTTGAAGGCAAAAAATTGACTGAAAATGTTATCGATTTGTAGTCTTGTATTATTTAAGTGTATCATTGATTTCAGATTAGTTAAGCATCTTCAACCTAATTTTCAACATTCACAAGATTTGGGTTTTCATGTGCAACTGCATAGTTGACTTTGTTGGACAATTTTAATTTTCAATTTAATTTTTAGGTTTTGTCATAAGCAAAGCTTTTTACATGAAGAAAAGAGGAAAATTTTCAATTTACTAGCATTTGGAAAATTTGGGTTTCGATTTCATTTCAAGTTTACCAAATTTGCTATTTTTCATTCCGAATCAAAGTGCTATAAAAAATTCAACAAAACTTTATTCACTTTAAACTTGATTTATGAATGACTTTACATCTCAAAGTGACAATAATTTTGTAAGCAACTCCAGCGATTGGTAGACGATGGTTAGGTTGACTCTTGAGAGTCAATTGAATTTGATTTTTCAACTGATTCCATCAAAAGTAACAACTTGAACGAGAATTGATTTTTCATTTATGAGCAAATAATGTAACTTTAATTGTGATTCATGAAAATGCATGTAAATCACTAAGAAAATTTTGAAATATTTCGATGCAAACTCGCAGATCAGTTCATTGCAATTGCTTTGCGAATCGCAATCCTGAAAAACAAATTTTGATTTATCTGAGGATTATATTCAGGATTATATATATTTCAGAACAATATTAATCTTGAAGGAAAACAACAATTACTTAACTCATTAGGAGTTAACTCATTAATTGTATTCTTTGCTCCTTGAACTATTTCTAAACACAAATCTTTACCAAGTGGTCACTTCCTCCACATTGGCTATTTGACTAACAAGTTCTTTCATCTAACAAGAGTAGTAAGTTAGAAGGGAAGAGCTGAATGGGCGGAGCCAAAGATTGTCAACTCTTCGCTCTTAAAGGAGCGAAACTAGTCTCAGGTCGGAAAGGGGTGGAGGTTCAGGAGTGAGCTTGAGGGGCTCCCATCTAGAAGTGACCGTGAAGGGTCATTTTATGACGAGTAATAAAACGTAAAAACTTTAGTTAAAATATATTGCTATCTGCACCTGGTCTCGTCTAATGGCAATAAAGTCCGAACTCATAATCAAGCTTTGTTTTTCTTTTCTTCAATTATTTTACTGAAAAAGATGTTGTAAAACTTTACAATGCAGCGGACAGTTCTCAGAATTTTATTACATCTACAATACACCTTGCTCTTTTTGCAATCGTTCTTTATTGCTCAAAATTTTGCTTTAAAAGCGATTCGCTTTTTTTTGAAGAGAATCAGTATACTTTTGACTTCCTTGAAACAACTTTAAAATAGTTTTTCGACGTTTTCTTCTGTGGTAATTTTCTACCTTTGCAAACTGTGTTTCTCTTTGTCTAACATCTTCTCTTTTTTTTTGATTTTTCTTGTTCTCTTTATTCTTAACATTTCATTTTGAGTTCCAACTTTAAATTATATTTGTGAGTTCTATCTTTTGTGTTATATTCATCTTCTATTTATCCATCAATTTTATCATCATCAAAATGTCTCGACGTTATATGTATCCATCTAACTATAGTGAACTTATTCTTGATGCTTCAATGTTCAACTGTGAAGATGATGAAATTTGTATGTCCGTTGATATTCCTGAGGAAATAATAATGGATGATGCTGAAGCCGATATGCTGTGTCGTGATATTTCATTCAGTGAAACAAGTGATAACAATGCGATGGAAGTTTGTTCTCAGTCATCTCAAGCAATGGATACTGATAGTTCTACTTGTATGAATCAAATGGATTATAGTGATGACAATGCTGAAATTATCATACACGAAACAGTTTCATCTTTGATTGATGCTGTTGAATGTGATGCTGCTTTAAACTCTAACATCGTTCAGAATCAACAACAGGAATTATCCAATGAACAGGACTCGGATGAGGATCAATCTGGATTTCTTCAAATCGGACAAGGTGAGGAGGAGAATCCAATAATCAACTTCACTTTAAAGGATGAAGGTCAGTGGCAACAAAATGATACTTTTCATACCTTAACTAAAATTGTTCGTGCAGATATAGTGAATAATACAAACCGTTCAGTAGATTTACTAGAAATATCATCAGCGATCAATGATGCTTACGAGCGTTTTGTGCAGCAAATGATATCTGAAGCAAACCCTGACGATATAATCAGTCTAACTTTTAATAATCCTCGTGATGATAGACAACTTTTTATGAATTTTAAAACCAAAAATTTCGACAAAAGTGAATTTCTTGCGCGAGCTGAAAAGCTAGCTCAATCAAGCGGTAGTTTTTTGGATGGAGGTGAACTCGAAATCACAATACAAATACTGAAATCTATATCTGGAACAGCAAAGCGTATTTCCAAATTAGTCGAACCAACTGAAAGAGCGCAACGTCAAAAATCAGTAGTGGTGATAAAGAATGAAGATATATACTGTGGTTACTATGCTATCG